CTACATATACGCCATTTAGAACGAGACGTACCTCCTTATCTCCTATGCTCATTCTCAATTACCCATTGGTCGAAAAAATCCAAATTTTAATGTATATAGTACGTGAATGTAACTTCAGTGTATAATTTGAAGACATGACAGGATTTACAGAGTAACATGGTTACAAACCCTACAGAGATAAAAATATCTGTACGTATGTATGACAGAGAATTGTTTGAAAATTAACTGGATCTAGCCAAAACTTACAATAACTTTAGCACAGTTAATATGGATTTGTTGGTTGTTCACACACCAAACTTTAGACCTGAATCATGAATCAGCTCTGAAGTCTGTCACTTATATTAAGGAGACAAAGAGTCTATTAGAAAAACACAGTTATGATTACAAACTGACTTCACTACGTACCGCAAGCAATATTAGTAATAAAAATATACTTAACATCAGCGTAAGCCAACCGTACTAAGTTCATCGTGAAATTTGGAAATATACACGGCACCAGCACTACTGCTATATGTTCTGCACGGCAGCACAACAATTTATTAACCAAAAAATGCTTATATCTGAATGCGAAAGATCGTGGAGTTATGGTAGAAAACGACAACACTGAGAAAGTGAGTATCGCCGTGATCACGTTCTTTACTTTTGTCAGCGCTGTGCTGGCGTACAGTATATTTAACAGTTAGCGCTGGCACCGCGTATATTTTCGGATTTCACATTGGCGTATAACCCTGCGCTTCGCTTGTGCTGGTACTAAGTATATTTTGGTAATATCGCATACCGGAGAGCGTCCAGAAGACTGACAATCACAATGAGAGTCTGCTGCCTTCTCGGTAATAAGCGTGAGCAAACCTGATGAAGCAAAGGTGCAATATCGTCTAGTCTTTGAGCTAGTGAGATGCACCTCGAGAAAATTAACGGTTCCGTCGGACGCTCGGTTAACGAGGAAGTTTACCTTCATCAGGACTTGCTGATTCGTATGTCCCCCCAAGACCGGAATTAATTATTGTCCGACCTGTTTAATTGCTCCAAGGAGTACTTTGCATGCACTTGCTTAAATTTGCAACCCAAATCAGTGCCCTGCATAGCGAAACAATGACCTCCCTGTTCGTCATCTCATTTAATGTAGGTATAGACTTACCTTGTTACTGGAATCATACTTGTGTACGAAGATTATTATCATACATTTCTAAATTATTATTAATCATGGACATTACTATATACCTATAGTGTCACTGAAACCTTTATTGAAAGATAAAGATTATAAAAGGGAAAGAATCATATTAATTAATATACTGATAGGACCTTTCAATATTTTTATAGTGGTTATTTTGATAATAAAATACTGACCTACATAACTGACCGAAGTTGGATTCAACATTGCCTACCTTTGAATTATACGAAACTGCTAACATTTAGCTTAAATAGTTCATTAAGAAACTATTAGTGACCTTTCAACAATTTCCACAAGAATTGCCTCATCATCATAAGGTCGTCAGTCCTAAGACCGGTTGGACACGCACCTCCACTCTTTCCTACCCTGAGCTAATCTTCACATTATTTACGAACAGTAATCTAATCTAGGTCTACTTCTATTCCTTTTAACTCCCGTTTCTGTCTTTAATATATCTCTGACTAAGCAAATCTAAGCATACTTTTTCCTTTTGCCCCTGCAAATCGATCTGTGCAGTTGTAGCGTTGTTAATGTTGATCGCATCTTCCATGTATGGATTAAAAGGTAGCGGTGACAGTGTGCATCCCTGTCTGACTCCCTTCTTAATATTTACTTCTTTACGTTGCTGCCCCATCTCTATAACTGCCTCTTGCTCTTTATTCAAACTAAGTATCACTCTTCTATCTTTGTAACTCATCCCTATATTGTTAAGTATATTTAACATTTTGTCCTATTTAACATTGTCAAAAGCTTTTTCTAAATCTACAAAACCTATGTACGCGCTCTTTCCTTTCTCTATTGTTACCCGTAAAGCTAGAATGGCCTCCCGCGTTCCTCTATTTCTTCTAAACCCATATTGGTCTTCCCCTAAAAGTTCTTCCGCCCTTTATTCCATCCTCTTCTGTAGAGTTGTAGTTAAGATTTTTGACGCAGGGGAAGTTAAGCTGATTGTTCTAAATGTCTCGTACCTATCCGCACCTCTATTTTTAGTTATGGTTACTACCACTTTCCGTTTATAATCCTCTGGGACTTCCCCCGTCTCGTAAATGTGACTAACTAGCTTATACATACGATCTCTAACTTTTTGTCCTGCATGTTTTAGAATTTCCCCCTGTATCCTGTCTATACCTGGTGCCTTATTATTTTTTAAGTTTTTTAAAGAATTGCCTAGAAAGAATTCATACAATCCTCTGGCTATTTTTATTTAATAAAATACTGACCTATGTAACTGACCGAAGGTGCATTTTAACACCACCTACTTAATTTGTTACCTTTGAAATCGCCTAAAAAGAATCTAAGTAATCCTATTTCTCCCTTCCTGCCTGTTCCATCCAAAGATTCCCCTTTTCCTATTGTTCCACAAGGAACATCATACGTGTTATTACTGGAAGGCTCCGATAATGGGATCGTCGGTGTCTCTATCAATAGAAGTAAGGCGCGTGCCAGCCGAGTCGAATACTAAGTAAGTGCTTATTGCACCGGATTGAACGCTGCAGTTTATGCGAAGCGTGTGTATACACAATGATCGTTTGATCTGACGCTTCGAAAAGCACATTCATACATAATATACATACGGATATATATATTATACGTATATTTGTGTGTATACGCCGTAAGGAAGTGATTATCTGTCGAATGAGAAATGGCAAAGATGCATCCAGGAAGCGGGGATAAGGCCAATTGGCCTGGCAGGCGAAGATAACGTTTCGAGTGTCGTTAGACGTCCCGTCAACTTACACACGATTGAAAGGATTCAAAGGGAACGACCCTACTCCATAACCGAATTCAAATTATGCACGGTACGTAAAAAATTAATACCGTTAATATGTGCCCAGTGACTATCCAATAATTAGTACATGGACTTCTAATTATTTTATATTTGCAACTTGATGGACAGGAATTATGTATATTTTAAGCAAATCGTAAGAAATTAGTTCAATAGAAATTCCAATAAAATGCTTTCATCATCATAAGGTCGTCAGTCCTAAGACTGGTTAGACACGCACCTCCACTCTTTCCTATCCTGAGCTAATCTTCGCATTTCCCCAAAACTAGAACAGTCCACATCCTTAACTTTTTGTGAACAGTAATCTAGGTCTACCTCTACCCCTCCTAACTTCCGCTTCGGCCTCTAAAATGTCTCTGACAATACCTTCATGCCTGAGAAGGTGTCCTACCAACCTATCTCGCCTATTTCTTATTGACTTCCATAGAGTCCTCTGTTCTCCTATTCTTTCTAATATCTCTTCATTTTTAACCTTCTCCATCCACGGTATCCCCATGATTTGCCTGTAACACCACATTTCGAACGCTTCTAACCTTTCCTTTTCCGCAGCGCCTACCGTCCATGTTTCGCACCGGTACAGCGCCGCGCTCCAAACATACACCTTTAACAACCTTTTTCGAGTTTCTAAAGTAACCGTTCAACTTAATACTTTATTAGAACAGAAATTCTTGTAGTCTGTCTTCAGACTCTGATCTCATCAGCACGCCGTAAACATTCGATATCCACTTGGAACATTTTTAAATCCCATGAAATTTTCTAGAGATTGCGTTCATTATGCTATTTATAGTACCTAATTCATTATTTTTTAATAGTTACACAGAATTTTCTTTGTTTAGGTATAAGTTTAATAGTAATATCCAAACTCATGTCTTATAAAAATTATAACGTTCAGTTAAAGAACTTCTGCTGAATTAACTGACTTTTCACCATAAGTGATGTAACGGTTTCGGAAATCATATTAATTTCTATAGTAACAGGAATATTGCATCTATTCCTTATTTATCTTAAGATACTAAGGGAAATATAATAATAATACCTAAATAGGGAAACCCCAAGGGTCATCCACAAAATTTTATTTATTATTGTTTATAAAAGTTTCACTGTTTTAAGTAATTTGAGCATTTTGGTCTTTTGGTCACCGGAATCAGAAATTTTAGTAAATTGCCTTTTCTTTAGTATCATCCAATCTAGTCTTTGTCTTGGTTTTGATCTTGCTGATATAATCTCGTTCCTGGTGTTAGTCTTGCGTGCTATGTCTTAATCTTACTCATTTAATCTGATATTTACGTTCTTTTTTTAATAATTCTTCTAAGCACAAATATTTCTATTTACCGACACAATAATTGTCTTAAAAGCTGAAATTTTTTGTAATACATGCGAGCTTGTCAAAATAGTGTCGATAGTTGTGGGAGTCATGAAACTAGAGGATTTACACTTCCTGCAGTACACAAATTGGCCCTTCCACCAACGTATTAATTGACCTTTTAGCGAACAAAATAGTACAAGATACTTGAAAGAATTAAAAATGTCGAAAAAATATTAGACTGTCTCTATATCTCAACCATGTGTTATCCCGACATAAGAACAAAGAACACTTACTACGAGGGCATTCTTGTAGATCCCTTTTTTCAAACAGTTGCAAAATTTCTTTGTTTTTATATTTATTGTTAAAATCTAGTACAGCAGACTGAAAATTTCAAATACCAAAAATATTTTGCTCCAAGAAAAGAATATATTAAAGTTACTTCAAAAGGTTTAAACCATAAAACCACCCCAAGTAATAATTTTTTGTTGGCTAGTAAGTATAAACACCAATTTCGCTCATTACTAAATATCACACAAAATGGTACATTAAAGAAAATCCTTTATATGTAGACATAACGTCCATAGACCAAGTAAGGACGTTAATTAACAAATCCAAATTACTTGAAAACTGTGAGGCTTTTACTGAGCATACATTCAGTCTTATGGAAGCCTGTTGGATTTTCAAGAAAATGAAAGGCTGCTGCAGGTGAATAGGAAAAAGAACAAGCTAAACCTTACCTTTTTTCAATTGCGAAAATCTGCTTTTGTTCATAACGATTAACCTAACGCGGCCCGAACACATATCACAACTGTCTATTCTAATGTTAACTTTTTTTGAGAAAAGTCTTAAAATCATACCTAATAACACAAACTACAAAACTCCCACTCTGTTCTTTTCAACTTTAAATTGTAAAATATTTTTTTTTGCGATGGATGGTCCAATTTATCAAAACTACTACGCTGACCGTTTTAGATAATGTTTCTTACATACGACTCTAGTACACACTAATAATAGGCACGACCTTTCAAGTGAAAGCAAAGTCAAACCTGCAAAAACTGATGAAACGTTGGATGCTTATCGAGAAGTGTATTAAGACAAACAAACTTTTCTGGTCTAAAAATAGCGATGACTTGAACAGTTCTTGCAGTATTTATTTAGTAAAATTTACGAGATACTTTAACTGGATATTATAAAAGATTGAATTAAAAGTTTAAATAACACCAACACGTGAAAAATATTTTTTTAAATCATAAAATAATGTAATACGTACCTATTTCAGATCAATATACTACAACCTACAATTTACGGGTTAAATGATTAGGTATCCAAATTAGATTAGGTAAACTGTCAGTAAATAATTTAAATTCTAACAATTTGATGATATACTTTTCCTGGAACACTACGGTGTGTCTAGATGTTTATTTCCAAAAAACGATAGAAAACGATATAGAGGGGCAAAAGATTAGTATGCTTAGATTTACAGTTGATATAGCATTATTAACATAAGCAAGAAGGAGTTAAAGATAGCTTTATATAAAATTGAAGCGGTATTGACAAAACAAAGCATAAACATAGAAGACGAAAGATTAGAGTGGCTGATTTTGGGTATCTATGAAGTCAGATAAGTCAGGACGGAAGGAGTAGTAGGGATATAAAGCAGAGGATAGCGCAGGGTCGAGTTGCCTTCAGTAAAAAGAAATCACTTCTATGCTCGCGAACAGTTAAGTTAGAAATTCGAAAAAGATTGTTAAAGGTGTATGTTTGGAGCGCGGCGTTGTACGGGTGCGAAACATGGACAGTGGGCGGAAAAGAAAAGATTAGAAACGTTCGAAATGCGGTGTTACAGGCGAATGATGAGGATACTGTGGATAGAGAGGGTTAGAAATGAAAAGGTATCAGAAAGAATAAATGAACAGAGGACTCTATGGAAGTCAATCAAAAACAGGCGAGATAGGTTGGTAGAACACCTTCTCAGGCATGAAGGTCTAGTCAGAGACATATTAGAAGCAGAAACTGGAGTTAAGAGGAATAGAGGTATACCTAGATTAGATTACGGTTCGCAAATAGTTAGGATGTGGGTTGTTCTAATATAGTTTTAGGTAAATGCGAAAATTAGCTCAGGATAGGAAAGAGTGAAGGTGCGTGTCCAACTAGTCTTAGGACTGACGACCTTATGATGATGATGATAACTCACATTCTATCAAAAATAGTGGCAGAAAAAAATCATGGATCAATTTTCCGTACGTGAATAAAAAATAAATCTGATCCCTAGCTGAGTCTAATAAAATAGACTGTGGCCCGACCAAAATTTCTACAACTATTTTTCCTGGAATATGGAGTATTTTAAGTAAATTATACCATCAAAACCAAGCAGTTAGGTCGACATTTTTTTCGATTTTCAAAATTTCAATTGTGTTAACTTTTATTTAAATAATAGTCTGATGCACACAACCCGGCATTTATTTTACTTCGACACTATTTCGAATTTGACAAGAAGAAAATCGCAAGCATCTGTTTAACTACGTATTAGATATTGATTCGTTAAAAAAATATTATATCAAATGTCCGGTCTCCTTTCTGATCTGGCGATGATTATATCGATTTAATCCGAGACCTTTGCTATTGTTCCACGTTGAGTGGTTTTTTATTCGGTTCTGGAAGAAACCGTTTCTCGAACACCGGCAAAATTTAATCAAGTGTTTACCGAAATTCGGAACAGTACAAAGTTAATTTAATTTCTATGGCTTCGGTTGGGTCGACATGATGGTTTAGCATTGCTATCTTAGTAGGCGAGCCGGTAAAACTACGAGAAATCGTCAAACATTTGTTCCATCTGAATCTCTAAAACTCGAGTGGCTTTTGCCGCTGCTTTTCGTTTCTGTCGATGAATTGGCGTGCTTCTTATCCGTAGCCTATGTCGTTGCCGCTACGGCATTTAATTAACGTTCAAAAACTGTTGTTTGTGTTTTAATAATTGGATTCCCGACGTTAGCTGCGACACCGCTTATGACGCCATGTCGACAACACAAGTACATACTTACTTCTCGTGTCTCATTCCGTGGTAGAAATATTTCTAGACTATTGCAAGTTTGCATTGTTATCGAAGTAATTGCTTGACATCGCATTAGGGCCCAACTCGAGACCGCTTTTTGTTTGAGATGTTATTGTTTTCATTCGTCATTGTAAACATTTTGTAATATCGTCTTGTTAAGGAGCTTAAACTATCATGAGCATCTTGACGAAGATTACAAACGATATTTAATTTTATTGGTCGACAAATCAATAAGCACATTTTCCATACACATACAACCAAATCGTTTCTCGATAATCTGTATCTAAATCGCTTGATCAAATGCCTAATAATAATGTTCTAGTTCGTGGAGGTTTCTGTATCTGAGGCCTACACAAATTGGTTGTCCATGATATCATTTTCCGATTTAATATTATAGAAATATGGCAATAATAAACCGTATATGTGATCCTTAAGGGTTTATTACATTTTATTTATTGTTATATAGCATTTAAGTTTTATTGTTACCTAATATTTTTAAGTACATCCAAATCATTTATTTAAAATTGCAAAGTAATGCCCACTACTAACTTAGTACGTTAATTAGCAACGGGAAATCAATAATAACTGGGAATTAGAAGTCGAATTCAAAACAATGAGATGCGAGTAAGACAGGGTGGTGAAACGGTTTGATGTTTTCACTCTCCCTGTAATGGTTCGTTATCATTTTAATGGTAAGGAAAGAAAATATATTTCGGTAAATGTCTAGGTGATGGCCCTCACCCCCGAAGGGGGTGGGGTGGGTGGGATCGAAAGAGGAGGTCTCCCTCACCACTGTACCATAAAAAGTTCGTGGCGGTCTCACCCCCATAAAAAGTTATGGTGATTAGATGGGGGTGGGGGTAGGGGAGATCGAAAGAGGGTGGAGGGATCGAAAGAAAGCGGTCACCTGAGTAAAATCCCATAAAAAATTTGCGGCGGTCTCACCCCCATAAAAAGTTATGGGGGTTGACAGTTGATTATTTTACACTACAATTCAAATAAAATTCAATAAAAAAAATATTTTCAAGCGGGTGGAGGTGGGGAATCGAAAGAGGGTGGTCACTTGAGCAAAATCCAACCTAACCTAACCTACCCTATTGATAAAGATAGTTAAATAATGTTTTATATAACTTTCTCAATGTTTTTATGTATTTTTCATTAGTTTCACCTTTGAATATTATTTAAGAATGACTAAGTATATAAATATTTACATGCCTAGGAATGTATTAAAATTGGCATATTTATTAACTTTGAACCTCCATAACTTTTTATGGGGGTGAAACCGCCACGAACTTTTTATGGTACAGTGGTGGGGGAGACCTCCTCTTTCGATTCTCCCCACCCCCACCCCCTTCGGGGGTGAGGGCTAACATCTAGACCTTTACCTGTATTTCTGCTGCACAATTTAATTTATTTATTAATTTCACAACCGAATAGTTAAAACGTAATTTTTGATATTGTCATACTTACTCTTCCAATTTCTAACAAACAATACTAAAGAATACTTTCCTGATTTGTTTAACGAATTTATCTCAAAATTACTCTGCAGATTATAAAGAATTATCCTTTTTTTTATAGAGATCAAAACTGTAATTTTCTTTAAAGCATTCCAATTGCAATGAATAATTTGAAACGAGCAAATTGCGTTTAGAAGCCATATAAAAACAATGCGACATTAATTATTTATTTCAATGAGTTCGTTTGGACATTGTTAATTAATTTCGTGGCAATATAATGTAATAATTGGTTTTAATGGTGGTGTTATTCATGTTATTTCTGGTTCAACAGTAGTTTTCGTAAATTACTTACCGCTTTTGTCAGTTTCAACGATTTAATTAACGTTTTTTTCGATGCCATCGGAATTTTACTGCCACAATGAAAATATTTTCAATAAATAAACAAATGTTAGTCTACAATTGTTAGTAGCTGCATTAAAACTTTTAACTTTAGCAATTTTCACTATCTTTCGTTCAAAATAACTTCACAACTAATGATAACAATTAAAACAGTTGACTACAGCAGTTACGTTGTGACAATGGAATAATAGGGAAAATGGTTTAATACGACTTTTTAATTAAGAATCACAAATATTTTGACAGATTTAAACCTTAAACATTCGTTCTTCGCAGTCATAGCCTAACCTAACCTAACCTAACCTTTTTAAGAACTAAAGTAGTATTTTCTACAAAACAGCTTCTACAACGTTGAGGAAATTTTCATAAAATATTTTCCGGAATGTGCTTTGCACCAATGGTTTAGGTTAGATTACAGTGAGAAATATTTCTCTAACTAGTGTATATAAAGGGTCATAAACCAGTGGGGGGAGGTCATACCATAACCTAACCTAAATCCATGAGCCCAAAACGTAAGTGATATTCAATATAGAAAACAATGCCCATTCGTCCGGATTCGACCAATAGAGTAATACCTAAAACATCAGTCCTTTTTGAATACTGATATGTAACTTTTCAAACATTTCAACGGCTAGTGGATTGCACATTTAGGATCGTTAACAGCAAATTTTTACTAATAGGCAAGCGAACGCATAAAACACCAGTAGACACAAATATATAGGTACATCTATCTGCGTACATAGTGCGTCAATAACACCGAAATTTATTGTGATATATGATAATAACGTTAAAGCAATTTGTGCCCTGTAATGTAGAAGTAGCAGGCAGTATTCGGGGTAGATTTTTAAAAATTTGCATGCTAAATACATTATATCTTCAATGAATAGAGATGAGTCCGAATATTAATGGACTATTTTGCGTTTTGCTCTTGCAAAATTGCACCGACGTCGTTTCGTAATGTTTGCGTATAAAGATAATAATATTCGACAGCTCCATTAACGGAATAAATTAATGGAAAACCGGGAAATGTTCATCAACAGTCAAAATCCGAACGCGTTGCGCGATAACGCACCATCATGATATGATGCAGGTACAGCGAATGTCCATGACCACAAAATCCGTTTCTTTTATTTCTAATATCCGCAGATAAACAGGCTGCATATGAACTGATTATAAACCTTATAATCGGATGTTTAAAAATTAATTTCTTATTTTATTTGATTAATTTTTACGATTAAACTATAAATGTGCTCAACGAGGGGGGGCGCAAAAAACTTTTAGTTCTGTTTTCTTCCGTTACTATCAAAATGACAAAAAAAATGAGCCTGTCAAAAGGGCAGCCTTTAATGTTAAGAAGTATCTCTTATTATAATTTTTGATTTCCGATTTTAATAACAAGGGAATTTGTTTTTTATTGTATTTTATTGTTTGAGTGGTAGGGATATAAAGCAGAGGATAGCGCAAGGTCGTGTCGCCTTTAATAAAAAGAAATCATTTTTATGCTCGCGAACGGTTAATTTAGAAATTCGAAAAAGGTTGTTAAAGGTGTTTGTTTGAAGCATGGCGTAGTACGGGTGCGAAACATGAGCTGTGAGCGCGGCAGAAAAGAAAAAGTTAGAAGCGTTCAAAATGTGGTGTTATAGACGGATGATGAGGATAACGTGGGTAGAAAAGGTTAGACATGAAGAGGTATTAGAAAGAATAGGAGAACAGAGGACTCTATGGAAGTCAATAAAAAATAGGCGAGATAGGTTGGTAGGAGACCTTCTCAGGCATGAAGATCTAGTCAGAGACATATTAGAGGCAGAAACAGGAGTTAGGAGAGGTAGAGGTAGACCTAGATTAGATTACTGTTCGCAAATAGTTAAGGATGTGGGTTGTTCTAGTTCTAGGGAAATGCGAAGTTTAGCTCAGGATAGGAAAGAGTGGAGGTACGTGTCCAACCAGTCTTAGGACTGACGACCTTATGATGATGATGATGATTGTATTTTAACGAACTGTTGTTTTGTAAAAGTCAATATATATTCTTGGATGGAATTGAACGATTTACAAAAAAGGTGCGAACTGATTTTTCGCTAAGTCAACTCATTTAAAAGTTATTCGAGGTTAAAGTTAAACCTCAAATGGCATATGTTGACTTCCACAATTTTTTATACTTTGTCTCAAAGTAATAGCTCAAAAACATAAAACATTTTCTTTTTCGTGAGGATACTAATCTTTTGCCCCTGTATATCTATCCCTGAAGTTATCCTACCTTTAATGATACCCTTTGACATTTTTTTTTTAATTATTTAATAGTGGTTAATATGAAGGAAAAAAAATTGTTGCTGTTGTCACACCAGCGCCGGGAATCGAACCCGATACCTTTGGCTTTACCCACCAAAATTTTTCCCTGAGGTAGTTTGTAGTGAATATAAAATTGAAAATGAATTTTCACATTAATATCTTTAATGATATTTATAAGTGTATTAAAGGAAACTTTTACGTAAATTACATGATACAATTCTGCATTAGATCTATATATGTTTATAACTTTTACTGCGTCAAACTAAATTTCAACTAATAAACAAATGGATTATTACTTAAATAATCGCTGAAATTTCAATGTCGCCTTGACTTCCAATAATTATAATTTAAGTCCTATGAGAAAAAATCCACAAATTCTGTTATTTCAGTAGTTTGACCAACATTACTGAGTAAATAGGTATGTGTCAATTTTAAAAATTTGATACATATATACTCAGAACCATCTAAAATGGCGACTGAAATAATAATAAATTTAAGAAGATTTTACATCGGCAAAAATAAGGAGGACGGCCCGAATTTTATTTAGTAACAATATTAAAGGACAATAACCGTTATTAAGTTTATCTTTGAAGCTGAAATTCAACAAAAATATCTCTACTATCTACGCTTCTCCTATATTTCGATAAAACAGAGTAGTGGAATTCGTTTGAATACACCCTTCTGAAAGTTTTAAAACCATTTTGAGCTTTATAGGCACAGGGGCATAACAGAATATAAAACGAGTTTCGTGTAAATGACTTCTTAAAGTCGTTGGTAGTTTTATTGTATGAGCCACCACGTTAGATAGCTAAGAGTTCATCTATCTGTAAGATGCAATGTGTTTTACTGGTATCTACAGCAAGATCGAAATTTCTACATTTGTAACAAACACAAAAACGACTTAAGGGTAGTTATAGAGCACCCTAAAAGTGCTTCCACTATTTTACTATGCAACGTAAAACAAGAAGAATTTGAACTGTATACGGAAATAGAACGATAACATACATATCATCGGAAATTTTATTTGATAAGAGCTCTCGGCGAAAACTAGTTTACTTATTAACTGGATTAAAGCGCATGTTGATGGCGATCACGAATAATCGCAAACTTGAAGCTGCATCTGTTCCCCACGCTTTATTAAATTTACCCAAGTTTGGTACGTTTAGTACCATCATACCGTTAAGATTGACATATATATGGTAATTGCATATATCTAATTGAAATTGACAGTCATTGCAGATTGCAGAGTAACGCGCAATAATTTACATGAATCAGACTAATTTCGAGATCCAGCTGAAGAAGTCAGCAAGCAAGCACACGGTGTCGTCATTAGGATGAGGGCTACAACCTATAACCCATAAGGCTAACTTTTTTATTTAATAGAAAACATATAAGTAACACTGAAAATGAAACACTATACCTATCACTAATTAATTAATTTAAAAATTAAACACTCTATTTGTATATGTCTAACGTAACTGTTTTAATAAACAGCTTGCCTATTTTGTGTCAGAACTAAAGGGAAGAAAACAACGATTTTATTTATATTAAACCATATTCGACAGAAAATAATCTGTCTTAAGGGGTGAGGGGAATCACTTCACCTAAAGCACGCTTCATTCGTACGTAGATTAATTTCCTATCAATTAATGAAATATGAATCACCACATTATTACATAATAATAAATTATTTTCTTATTCTTCCTTTTTTTATGCACCTTATTTTTATTATTGCTAATAAGAAGAAAACTAAATGTGAAAAATAATTGCAAACACAAGAAAAAAGTGATATGAAACGAAGAAAAATTAGAAAAGTTGGGGGTTAATAACATACGAAAAGAACTATAGAGAAAAAGAATGTTAATATGACAAATAAGTATAATGAGAAGAGGAATAAGGCACTTAGGGATGGTAAACAAATAGAGGAATGTAACATTAGTGTATATATCTTAGATTTTTCTCTCGAATACGTCAGCACTACATTATTTCACTTAAATATTCAAAGAGACCACAAAAGAAAGTATTTCTTGTCCGTGGTATAATATGGTAAAAGAAAGATGTAATGATTTGATAAGGGAATAAGACTTGAAAATATATATAAATCGATATACGCGGGGGGATGAAGAGTAATTTTATGAGGGGAATGGCTATATTTTGATGTCGACTTCTCGATAAGTGAGTCTACACAATATAATAAATAATAGCATTCCGCTACACCATTCTCAATCATCAATTCAAAAAGTTCAACAAGTAATACCTGCAACAGGTGCCTGATAGCAAACTTTCAAATGTGCAGATACATGTATACTAGCTCCTGTGCCATGAATCATTAAAATTTTACAAGAATTTGAACACTTTGGGACATCTATCGCAGTATTAGAAAACCATACAGAATTTCGTAGGTAACTTCATCTTTCATGTTGCTTACCATTCTGAGATGGCGCTTGAATCGCATTGTTTTTATTAATTTTAATTTTCAAATTAACACATAACCTATGTCTTTGATAGCATAACAAATAATAATAAATAATGAACTAGAACCACAATAAGCATCGTTAATATTTTAATCCATGATAAAAAAAAACAGTGAGTAAAGTTTTACCTGTTGACCCACCATGCAGAATTACGAATTTGATTTTCAAGAACGAATAAACATCACCAATTTTTCAAAAATATGTAGAATATGCTTACTTGAAAAAAGCCACTTGATATCAATATTCACGCAAGGACTTGAAAATAGTTTACTAGAACATGGAGCTATTACGGTAATTATATCATACATAATTAGTAACTGTTTATTAAGAATTATTTTTTAGTCTTAATATTTCAAATGCAAAGAATTACACAATTTCAGCCCTTTTAAATATACTCTAAGTGTCCTAATTATCTATCAATAATTGTTAAACTACTATTAGGTTTATTATATAACTTATAATGCATTTTTCTTAAGGTAAAACAAGGGGATGGATTTCCTCAGTCTATGTGCAGAGAATGTCACAATGAATTGATCATAGCAGAAATTTTTAAGCAAAAATGTTGTAAATCAGACTTAATATTGAGAGGCTCCTTAGTTAATATGGAAAAAGAAAGTGAGAAAAATGTATTTTCTCTTGAAGAACAGCACACAGAATGTAATAACATTAAGAAGGATCACTCTTACAGTGTAAAAAATGAAGATGATGTTAGTAAGTATGGTACTCTTACTATCATTTTGTAAGTTGCATTTTCATAATGTTATAGGTAACTGTGTGCAATCTGTATCAAAAATAAAAGTATCTAAAAATAAAAAAGATCAGTGTAAATTATGCAAAGAGTCATTAAGTGATTTAAACGTGGAAAAATTAGATAAGAAATCATTCCATCATGCAAACCCAAACACATGCTGTTCTTGTTGTAAAAAGTTTAGAGAGCTGAAGGAGTTAAAACGACATACTCGTGTTCACAAGTAAACCTCAGGAATTGTTTTATTTTATTTTATAATATGTAATTATTACTTTTGTTCAGATTAAAAAAGACATACATTTGTGAAACTTGTGGAAAGGGATTTTATGGGATTACAGACTTAACAATTCATAGCAGAGTTCATACAGGAGAAAAACCACATGAATGCAAGACATGTTCAAAAATGTTTGCAGATCCTAGAGCCCTAAAGTGTCACATAAGAAGACATACTGGTCAGTTTATTAATATTTTTCAGTAGTAAAAGAATATGTACCCAGTTCTGTTTAACTAATTAATTAAAAAAGACAACTTCTATTAGAACAAAACAAATTTTAAAACTGCGGGTAATATATTAATAAAAAAGAAGTCAATGGTATCTATTAAAAAAACTCATAAAACACTCGTAAATTCTTCAAATTTGTAAAATTGTACACTGACATCTTTTACAAACCAAAACCACGTAGAAGTGCACATAACAAACTATGAAATAGAATTAATAAAATTACATCATTTTAAAAAACACCTTGAGCTGTATTTTATTCAAATTAAGTTATACTAATACTAGAAGCTACGCTTAAGAAATTAAAAAAAAAGCTATGCAAAAGTTTCCTTATTTATGTTTAATATTTGTTTAAGGCGTAAAACCATATAGTTGTGAAGTGTGCAATAAACGTTTTGCTCATTCCTTCGTTCTTTCTACCCATAAGAGAACTCACACAGCTGAGAGACCGTACATGTGCCCAAGCTGCGGGAAAACGTTCATCTATGCTAATAATCTAGCAATTCACATACGCACTCATACTGGGGAAAGACCCTATCAGTGCAGCTCCTGTTCTAAACGTTTTATGTCACGCTCTTCTCTTTCAGCGCACATGCTCACACACACCGGCGAAAAAAGGTTTTTATTCTTCAACTTTTTAAATGTATACTTTTTTAATTTGGTTTTAATTTCCAGATTTAGATGTAACGTATGTGGAAAACAAACTGCCAGATCAGGAGACCTAACCATTCATATGCGAACACACACTGGAGAACGACCATATCAATGTAATATTTGTTCAAAACGATACATAATGTCTTGTCATTTAAGGGCTCATATGAAAATACATACCGGTTAATTACTACCTACTACTTTATAAACATATGCGAAATTAATTGTTGTAATTGTATTTTAGAAGATAAGCACTATATGAAATAGAGGCTTTTCTCACCGTAGGTGTACAAATTCACATGTTAAATAATAAAAAAAAAAGAAATAGCTTCTTTAACAGTTGTGATAAATGTTTTAGATTCTTAAATACTTAATAGCATAATTATGAAACGTGAAATCTTTATAAGGTGATCTTTATTAAGACAGTCTATTATGTAAATATGTATGTATGTGCCATGATATAAATACACTAATTAAAAAAAAACAGTTACAAATTTTTCATTATTAACTAGTTTAATACATTTCACTTATCGTTTATAAGTCCTTTACATATTATACAGATACTTAATAAAATTATATTTTAATTATAGTAAGACCAATATGTGATACATATAGTAGATTTAATTATTGTACGGAAAAGTGAGAATAGTGAACAAACAAGGCATTGATGATACTAATAATTAACTAATATTTTAAATTTAGTTTAGCTTTATGTTACTTCTAAATTGTAGCAGCTCAAGCAGGGTCTGTACCCCCTATGTGGTCTATTTAGTTGTAAATGAATAATATATACGTACATCATGGAAATACACAATTTCAGAAGATAAGTTAATTAATTAGGACATACAATCAACTTCAGTGCAAGACATAGTATTTTCTGAAGCATTGGTAAGATGAGAAACAATGCTAAGGACAATCTTGGAATTAAACATGGATAATATGAACAGCAGCATGAAGAATACAAAATCTACAAATTATTAAGGAAAATACTTGAAATAAAGTCAGGCCTAGAAACCTTCATAAAAGGATACGAATCATCACCCTCTCCCATTTCTCTACCATGTACAATTCAGTTACTAACAAATATCTAAAATACCAGTAATTTATAAAATTCCACACAGATTTCATTTTAGATTATAAATTTATGTAATTTATGTAATAAATTTATTCCTTTTATGCTGGTAAAATAATCAAAATACTATAGGTTATGTTTACAATTTCCAGTCAAAAAAGGGTCACTTTGACAACTGTTAATTTTTAGTTGCATTCATTAAAAATCATTCAGATGGATCGAATTGACATTTGTATTCAGAAAATTGATCATTTTCTACAAAATAAAATAAGCTATTCAAAATTAAAAAACAAAGTGATTCAGTTTTGTAAATAATAATATTTGCAAAACTCGAGATCGAAATAGAAATTACAGTTTAAAACGTATGTAATATTAAGGGAATCCCTTATATGTTTGTTTATTTCCATTTTATATCTATTGTATATGACAAAAATCTATGGATAAAAATCCACATTGACAAAAATCAAATATGGCAACGATGGCGACAGATTTAACCACAACTCATCTTCTTTGTGATGGCTCCAGAATTAAAAAACAAAAACTAGACGACGATCATGAAGTAAATAACATACATCAAAAGTTAAAAAACTTATCTGATTTCAAAGTGGACAAGATTTTGCATAATAATACAAGTAGAAAAACAGTTTGTGTACAAGGCAGTTTCAAGGAGCTTGATGGACCGGCAATTGTGTTATTAGAAAAAACAGCCTTCCAAGAGGAGCATGTTACAAATGAAAGTGGCCTGTTCTCTGAGAAGGGCGTCCTAGCTAAGACATTTGATAATGATATTTACGGAAATTACGACTTTTTCCCTGCTATTGAATTAAACTGTGAGTACTTTTATTCACGTGTTTTTTTCTGCTTACAAGTTAATTTGATGCTAGATATTTAAATTTCTTTCATTAACTGTATATACGTGTTGCTAAAGAAAACACTTTTTAGCCATAAAGACCACTGTTATTCATCCAGCCACAGAAAAACATATAGAAAAGTATTCTAGACAGAACTTATATTTAATTGAAGAAACACCAGATATCTATAACAAAATTGTTCTTCCCCATATTACTGCAGAACAATTTGATGTCCAGGTAAGGTGTAACAAAACAAAACTTGAAAGTTTTCAGTTTTAATCTTGCCATTTACATGTATAACTACTTTCTTTTGCTTCTAGTGGGTTTTCAATATATTAGAACATAAAGCAGAAACTGATAGAATTATTTGTGAAGATACTGATCCTGAAATAGGTTTTGTCCTAGTACCAGACTTAAAGTGGAATGGTTCTGTGGAAACTTTATATTTACTTGCTTTAATTAAAAAGCGAGGCATAAAATCATTAAGAGACCTAAAACAGGAGCACCTACCTCTTTTAAGAAACATTAAACAGAAATGCACTGTGAGTTACATATGACATTTTATTTCCTTAATTGCTTAAGTGCTACAATATCAACTAAATACTTTTATATTTCATTTAGGAAGCTATTAAGTCAAAATATGGCTTAGATACCACTCAGCTTCGTATTTATTTGCACTATCAGCCGTCCTTCTACCATTTGCACATACACTTCACGTACTTAAGACATGAAGCACCAGGAATCACCACTGAAAGAGCTCATTTACTGGCAAATATTATAAGCAACATAGAACTGTTACCAGATTATTACCAAAAAGTGACAATACCATTTGTTGTAAGAGAGTCTGACAAATTATATGAAAAATTGAAAGATTCAGCAACTTCTCAAGAAAATTAATTAGCATAATGGAACAAAGTAAACATGTAAGACTTTGCAAATTGGTTGTAATGGAAAAAAGGCCACGTTTGCAATCTGTTAATGTTTACCTTCTGTTCAACACCGAATTTCCTGCCAATAGCATTGATATTCGTTTGAAACCTGACAAAATACAAATATTCAGTGACAAAAATGCTGAAGAAATAAGTTGCATGGATTTCAAAATACATCAAGACAGTATTAGTTCTTTAGTGTTAAAGAATGATTTTGCCACTTTTAGATTTTGTACAAGTAACTTGAACAATGAATTGGGAACCTTCAAATCAGATATTGTAGAAATTGTTGAAATCGAAAATGACACTGAAAATTTTAATTTACATAAAGTGCTTGATACGAATTTTAAATATGACATAAAATGCATTCACTGTTTGCAATATTTTTGTAAAGGAGTTCAATTCAAGAAGATTTTGCCTCTTCCATCAGAAAATGCAGACTTCGGCGAGTGGTTCTGTCATGCTCCAACGTCTAATTTTAAGTTTGATGTTTTGAACCCTGAAATTTCCGATTTATTTTATTCAAGTTGTTATTTTCACATAAATTTATCTCTTTTAAAAGATGGTATATCTTTTTCCGAAGGTTCGCGTATTCTTTGTAAAAATTGTTCTTTTGAACTGGGAAAACTTGAAAAGAAGGCTGTTTGTAAACTGTGGTTCCACACAGCCTGTTTACACTTTAATAACTCTCGATATGAAAGTCAACCCCTTGAAGATTGTTTTCGAGCTATACGAAACTGTTTAAATAATTCTGTTGTCGGATCATACAGAATTTTATTTTATTATGAATCACCGCAAAAATCTGATTTTATTTTTCTGTGGATCATGGAAAAGAAACTTCGGTTGTATGTAAAAGACTTTAATGGAAGTGAATTTAGTGATAAGATAAACAAAGTTGCTAAAGTTCTTTTTAAATTTACCGACATCGCCACCGATGAAGAGGTGAAAAAATGGCGAAGTGACCAAACCGTTGTTCAGCTCGAGATCTCGCTAGTTATGATGACAAAATTACGGGAACATTTGAACATAATGCATAAGTATATACCTGAGAATTTTTCTGTAAGCAATGGTTTTTATATTTCGTATGTAAGTTTATACAATAAATAAATCAATAAAACTGTTTAAGTTTTTACAAAGGAATTTTAAAAAGAGCTTCAATTTTTATTTACTTGATATCACAATTTGTTTGTGATATTAATATCTACACCGACCAATGTAGATATGGGATTTTTGAAAAAAAAAAGATCTTTCCTCACCCATACAATTTTTTTGTATTCAATAAAGTAATTTACATTTTTGCAAACAGTAATTCACTTTAATGTATACTGTTCTTCAATAATAAACACACAAAAAGGTAACAATATTAAAACAATGAATAAAAACGTAATTATGGAGTCAAACGTTTGGGATCACGAGGGAACATGGCAGTTTTACGTATATTGTCCAAACCCAAGTATAACATAACAACTCGTTCTAAGCCAATACCTCCACCGGCGTGAGGTGGACAGCCATATTTGAAGGAGTCAATGTAAGATGCAATCTTTGAAAGATCTAGAAAAATATATGAATTTAACAATAAAAAAATTAATGCATATTGCTTTACAAAACAAAGTCCAAAAATTAAAAAATACTTTTTTTCTTACCAATACCATGATGTTTCGCTCGCTCTGTTAACAATTCAGGATCGTGAATTCTCTGGGCTCCAGACAAAATTTCTTCTCCTCTCATAAACATATCATAAGAATTGGATGTAATCGGGTCTTCCGGATCAGGCATGGTATAAAACGGCCTCACGGCTAGAGGATATTTGTCCAAAATGTAAAAGTCTGTGTCGTATTTGGCTTTAACTATACGGCCTAATAATTTTTCGGCGGGAGTGTTAAGATCCTCTTCAGGACCTATTTCAACTCCTGCCTCAGCCAACATAGCTCTTCCTTCTGCATATTTAAGCACCAAAGGAGGTTCAAGAAATGTAAAGGGCTCCATACCATATTGCTGCCCAACCATTCCAATTTCTGTTGCAAACCTACAGATTTTTTCCTAATTACAATTTTAAAAATGCAAAATATTACTGTAAAATTTTTTATTTTTCATTCAAAACCAATTTTAGCGAATTAATGAAAAGATAACGTTTCATAAAATTAAAATAAAAATAATAAAAACTGAATATAATAAATAGTTAAACAATAATGTCAATCCTGTACCATATAAAAAAATGTGAATAAATCAATAACTTTAATTGTAATCTTGATATCTGTCGATAAAGTCGTAAACCGACATAAACAAGCTATTATTGAATTTCCCTAATTTGTATTTTCTTTACTTACTGATCCCTAAGTCCTTTGAAAATTCCAGTCAAAACGTTCCCAATAAAAAGCATAACTTCATGGTAGTGATATTTAAAAGCCATTTCCAAATCAAGTCCTGTAAATTCAGTCAGATGTCTATGTGTATTTGAATCTTCGGCACGAAAAACAGCCCCTACAGTAAATACCTTTTCAAAATCGGCGGCAATTGCCATTTGTTTGTACAACTGGGGACTCTGAGCCAAATATGCATTACCTTAACAGAATATTATTTAATAATTAAAATGAAATATTGTTAATAAACTGATTCTGTTACACCTTTAAAATAACTGACTGTAAATACATTTGCGCCTCCTTCAGAAGCAGCAGAGATAATTTTTGGTGTATGTATTTCTGTGAATCCATGTTCAGTCAATATTTCTCTGAACAAACGACATACACCCGCTTCAATTCGAAAAATAGCTTGATTAGCAGGAGTACGCAAGTCTAAAATACGATTATCCAATCTTGTGTCTTGATTTACCCTAATACTTAAACTTTCTGCATCCTATTTAAATCAAAAAAATTAAAAGCAAAATTCATTGAGCAATTTCTAAATTGTAAGTAAGGAAACATATAAATTTAATTCAAAACTTACATCATTCTTTTCTGGCCTACTTGCATCCTCTATTAATAATGGCAGCTGAGGAAGAGATGAAGACACAATCCATAATTGTGAAGTAACAAGTTCCACATCTTGTTGTGAACATCCTGCAACTGCAGATGGAACCTCTGTCACTGTTGCTTCAACATCTAATATACTTTCTTTTGAAATGCTGCAGCAGAAACAAGAGTAAGTTCACTACTGGAATTAGCTTTTTTTAAAATTAAAAAAATACCTGCTTGCAAACTTCACCATTGCTTTGGATACAGTGTTGGAAACATTAATAATAGCCTGTACTGTAAATTCTTTTTGTCTGAGTACCACAAAACATTGCTTTCCTCTTCCACGAACTGTGTGTAATCTTGCTCTAACCCAGACATTTTTACCAGCCAATCTTTTATTTAAATCTTTCACATTAGTAAAAGCACGTTGAGGAAAATTAGACGTTGATCTGATAAGGGGCAAAACACCATACTTCCCAGCAGAAACGTCATCTAGCAAAAATAATTTTCAAGTAAAAAACCAAGTACCCGAAATATATACAAAATAAACTGCACCTTCCACTACTTCTAGTTTCACAGCGGCATTACTTGCTCTTTTTTCAGCCTTTTTACTTTCTTTTTCAGCTTTTTTTAAGTCTTTTTTAGACGGTTTTTTCACAGAATCTCCAGATGCGGCAACTTCAATTGGTTTATCTTCCACCATTGTTAATTAATTTGTTACTTATTATGAAAGTTACTACGTGTTTAAAAAGACAAGATATATTATTGTTTTTTTTGTTAATACCTTTTTATCATAGGTTTTTATCTTATTTTAAGATATTTATGCATACAAAGATAAAATTAACCTAAAAAAGATAAATCCCACTAGCATAGAATTTACATCACATTTACATTGAATGCAACCATAGATAATAGAATGCAACCATAGAATGGACCTTACATTGGATTATTTATGGAGTCGTGTGAATCAATATAAATCTGATTTATTTATTCAAAAACTGCTTACTTATGGATTATTTAGGAGCAAAACTAAACTAATCTATGTACTCTATGTAACTGAAGCAATAACTACTGTGCAATAACCATAGATTAACATATAACTAAAGGTGAAAAGCATCTATGGTGAAGATGTTAAGTTTAATTCTTATAACCTTATTTCTAATAAATAAGTATAAATATTTTTATTTATTAAAGGCATATTGCAATTCAAAGTAATAAATAAGGGTTGTGGTACCATTTTTATTTATTGTTAGTTCAACAAAAATTAATGATTTTAGCGAATATCACATAAAGAATAATATTTACCTCCTAAAAATATGAAAAGTGTAAAAGTAATGAATAAATTATGTCTTTGTAATTATAAACATCCAGTTTAACAGTGAAAAGTGAATTGTTACAAGATATGGATGGAATAAGGCATTTTTTTTCAAAAGAACGTAATATAAAAAATGAGTCCACAAAAGAAGATAGTGTTATAAAAACGGACATAGAAGATAGTATATTTGAACAGGAAATTGGGCTTAATAACGAGACTTGGCGTGATGGGGAAGATAATGTAGAAAATGAACTATTAAATTTAAGTGATTTAAAAAAAGAAACCACTATTAACCAAGGAGCAAAGGTTATTTTTAAAGATAATGTTGAACTATCTGATGAGGCATGGTGCTTTCCTGGTAAAGAAGATGATAAACAAAACGAGCTTTTACATTTAACTGATATAGAAGAAGTCATGGTAAAAAAAGAGGTAGACGATAATATTTTTGAAGGTAAAATTGAGTTTAGTTTAAACAACATAACTCTAGATATAACTGATGTTACTTATATTAATTCAAGGCATTTTATATGCATTTTTTTTTATTTATTTAATAATTGTAATGGTAGTCTCTTTAGAGTGCTACAGTATATCAAAAATCTAACTTATAGTTTCATATTTTAGTTCCAAATTTGAATACAGAAACCAAGACAAAGTTTAAATGTGATATTTGTCATATAACTGTTACTCACAAATCATACTTGGAAAACTATTCAAGAACATGCACAGAAGAAAAACAACTCAAATGTGAAACCTGTGAACAGAGATTTTCTCAAAAGTAAGTAATGGTAAATACCTTGGGTAACTGATTAACAAGACTATTATATCTTTACAACGTTCTAATAAGTACTTTAAAGCACTACCTTGTATTAGTTAAAGTAGCTAAGTTATATTAATGGAGATATTATAGTCCTAAATTGCCTCATAGTCATACAAAATAAGCACGACAGCATGCTTCAAAAACTACTTTTGCTGATTTTGATTCATTTCCAACATCACTTAATGATTTTTTCATTTTCTTTCAGTACTCAAAGTTCACAGGAGATAGGTGATATTGTTATTGAAACTCATAATGAGCAAAATCCATTAAATCAAAGGCACACTGTATCAGTCAGGTATGTTATTTGTAACACATTTCACCACATACTTATTTATTAATGCTATTATTTAAAATCAAAATTCCTAACTTTAGAGTGGACAATAAGGATGTTCTAAAAAAGGCGCGCCAACAAAGATATCGTGAAAGGCACCGTGAAGAAAAGCGTAAAGGAGAACAACACATCTCAACAGAACATATTACTGAAGTAACACCAGATGATCAGTTAAGTGGAAATTGTTCAAAACTTGAACAACAGCAAATTCTGAACTCTCGTAAAATTAATTCCGTTGCTATTTTAGTGGATAATGGGTTTTCTCGGTTAACATATAACGAGAAAATTGCAGTAAAAAATCTTAAACGACCAATGCCTATGTTAAATTTGGAAAATAAACAATCTGTTAAAGGTAAAGGCATTGTAAGAAAATTCAAACTTGATATTTATCAGAAAAATGACTGGATTTGTGGATGCGACGTTAAAAATGCTTTATTTTGCTTTCCGTGTCTTCTTTTTGGTGGTGAACCATCTTGGTCGAAAAACGGTATAAGAGATTTAGTGCATCTTAGTGCTAAAATCAGCAAACATGAAAATTCCGAAGGGCATTTGAATAATGCTTTTGATCTAAGAATGTTAGGAAAAAACATTCAAAATGTTTTGGATTCATCGTATAGAAGAGCAGTTCAAAACCATAATGAAGAGGTAACAAAAAATAGGCATGTTTTAAATTTAATAAAATCCCTTATATGTTTGTTTATTTCCATTTTATATCTATTGTATATGACAAAAATCTATGGATAAAAATCCACATTGACAAAAATCAAATATGGCAACGNATTTGAATAATGCTTTTGATCTAAGAATGTTAGGAAAAAACATTCAAAATGTTTTGGATTCATCGTATAGAAGAGCAGTTCAAAACCATAATGAAGAGGTAACAAAAAATAGGCATGTTTTAAATTTAATAATAAATTGCATCAGATTTTGCGGCGCGTTTGAACTAGCGCTACGGAGTCCTAACGAACGGCAAACATCGAACAGCAAGGGAATTTTTAGAGAATTAATAAATTTTACAGGAGAATTGGATAAATCACTCAGGGATCACATCGAAGCAGCACCGGTTTTTAAGGGATTGTCAAAAACAATACAGAATGAGCTGCTTGACGCAATGTTGAACGTGTATCATGAACAAGTTGTCAATGAAATTAGAACAACCGACTATGTAGCTGTGATTATCAGTGTAATAGCTGATGAAACCACGGATGTTTCCAATCAGTTTCAGTTGGTGTTTGTTTTAAGATACATAGTGAATGGGAGACCAGTCGAAAGATTTTGGAAATTTCTTCAGCCTAGTGGACATGATGCTACTTCATTATCTGCCTGTATCCTTAACGAAATGAATTTACTTATTAATGATCCAAAAAAACTTATTGCGCAGAGCTATGATGGAACAGCAGTCATGAGTGGTGCAATTAACGGCGTACAAGGACACGTCCAAGACCAGTATCCAATGGCTAATTTTGTACATTGTTATTCACATCAGACGAATTTAATTATGTCACAAGCTACATCAAGCAATAGTAACTGCAAAATTTTTTTTGCCAATCTGACAGGATTATGTACTTTTTTTTCTACTTCGCCGCAACGAGCAGCAAGATTGGAAGAATTTCTTCACAAAAAAGGCTTATCTCGTACTTCAAAAATAAAATGGAATTTCAATTCTAAGATGGTAAATACTGTGTATATCCACCGAGAAGAGTTAATTGAAGCTCTAGAAGAAATTGAAAGAGAGGCAAATTTACAAACTACCATTCAGCAGGCGGGTGCTCATTTGCGAATTTTAGAAGATGAGAATTTTATCTATTGGTTAACATTCTTTCATAAAATTATGCCACATGTGGACATATTGTTTAATAAATTGCAAAAAGCCACTACAAATGCATTAAAAATCAAGAATAATTTAGATGATTTTGAACGTGCCATTAAAAAAATTCGAACCGAAATCGCTGACACAGATAATCAGTTCGTTGAACAAAATGACTCAGAACTAAACCCTCGGCCATCAAAGCGGCGAAGAGTGAACGGAAGTGAAAGAAGGAGAGAAGCTATTGAAGTGTGTGATATTATTTTATTAGAAATAAAAACTAGATTTCAGTTTACAGGGCACTTAATATTATCAAACTTAGTTTCTTTTAAACAGTTCTCCTCATTTGAAAAAAGGTTCCCGGAAGATTGCCTCAAAGAAGCAGTAAAATTTTATCCATGTCTCAATGAAAGCAGGCTACGAATTGAATTAAGCGTTCTATATTCTAGAGAAGAATTTAGACAAAATTCAGAAACCAGTGCTGTAGGTCTACTGGGTCTTCTACTGGATGGTTTAAGCAACACTTTCTATGAAGTCATAAAGCTTTTAAAAATTATCATTACAATCCCAATGACAACGTCCGAAACGGAACGCCAATTTTCTCAGCTGAAAAGAATAAAAACTTTCCTCAGAAATACAATGAAAGAAGACAGATTAAATGCTCTCACTATGTTATCATGTGAAAAAGAATTTATAAATGACTTCCAAAACTTTAATGAAAAAGTGATAGAACTGTTCTGTAAGTCAAACCCCGGGTTTAACTTTTCAGTAGCGGCTCTCTAATAAAAGCAAGTGAAAGATAAAAGTAAACCTAAGTAGCTCTTATTACGTATTTTTGGTTTACCAGTCGTTTAGGTCGGCCAATGGGCACTCGGCGGCCGCCCCAACTCGGATGAGCACAGACAGATCATTAATCCGTTAAGCCTTTAACATTACACCGAGGGTGGGTTTGTTTTGAGAATATAATTTCGAAAACAATTTTGAAATTATGCACTGTAATTAGACTCTTTGTGAAATATCCCGAGCCGCCACTTTCAATTTCAAATGTATATTTATTGGTAAATGTTATTATTTAAAACCAAAATTGTAACATTAGAGTGGATAATAAGTGCAGTACAGAAAAATGCAACGCAAGCAATACAACAAATTAATGAAACAACACCAAATGACCAGTTATGTAAGTGAAAATTGTTCAAATGTATATTTATTAGTCAATGTTATTATTATTTAAAATCAATATTTCATAACTTTATAGTGAACATAATAAGAGAATGCGTTGTGGTTGACCAATGTTTAATGCTAGGTACTAGAATGCATTGCTAGTTACGTTTAATTTTTATCTCATATTATTCAGTAAATTTTATTTTTTCAGAGGTGGTTTAAAGCATCAAGTTTTATCAAAAATCCGACCTGCCCAGACACTTGGGTCCATACAGGAATGTATGAGTGTCATGTGTGTCAGAAGAGTATTCATTTGAGGAGATAATCTCTAATAAAAAAATTATTTACGAAGGTTTTTGTAGAATCTGTAAAAAGCATACACTTGTACTTTATATGCAAAATTTTATACAGTATGTACATGTACCTACACATGTAAAAATATATTTTTAAGAACTGACTACTTTTCATAATTATTTACTCAATAAAATTCTAAAAGAATAAGGTGTAATTAGTTCGTGAATTTTTGAACTAGTACATAATAAACAACTAAAAGTAGGGCACAAACTAAAACCCAAAACAGCATAAAAACTTAAAAATCTAAGCAAAGAAGCACAATGAAATTTGAGAGTAAATGAACGCAACTTTTAACTGATATATGATAGAATACAAAAATACAATATCAATGATCCACAACACAAAAAATTTATATAACCTCCTTGTTTTATAATAAATAATTTAAATTAAATGTATTTAAGGGTTCCTTACGATTAAAAACAATGACGAACAATGAGTAAAGACTGCCGTACCTTTTTTATATTTATTATTACAAGATAATAACATGGATGGTATATGGCATCTTTCTACAAAAGAACATAGTGGAGTACATGAACTGTTACATTTAGATGATATAAAAGAAGAAACCACTATAAAAAAGGATGTAGAAGACGAAATATTTGAAAGACAAATTAGGCTTACTGACGAAACTTGGCGTGACAGGAAAGATAATAGGAAAAATGAACTATTAAACTTAAGTGATGTAAAAGCAGAAACCACTATCGAACAGAAAGCAGAAGATATTTGCATAGGTAAAATCGAACTTACTAATAGAACATGGTGTTTTCCTGATAAAGAAGATCATAAACAAAATGAGCTTATAAACTCAGCTAATATAAAAGAAGAAACCATTGTAAAAACGGAGATAGAAAGTAATTTTGAAAGTGAAGTTAAGTTTAATGTAAATAATACAGTTGCAGATGCAAATGAACATCCATTTGAATGTCTCATTTGTGATAAACAATTCGTCCAAAAATTAGATTTAACTAATCACGTTCGTGCTCACAGGACAGTGTATAAGTGTCCAATGTGCTTGAAAGAGTTTTCCAAAAAAGTCTATCTCGATGAACATATGCCTCTTCATAAGCCATTTAAGTGCAAAACCTGTGGCAAATGTTTCACCCAAAGAGCAAGTTTGAACAGGCACATTTATGTTCATACCAAGGAGTATGAGTGTCATGTGTGCCAAAAAATTTTTTCCAGAAATGACCATCTTGATGAACATATGCTTGTTCACACAGGAGAAAGACCTTTCAAGTGTGAAACCTGTGGACAGAAATTTAGTCGAAAGTAAGAAACCAGACACTGGTTTTGTCAAGTATCAGATACCCACCAGTGGTACAATTACTGCAAAATATTGCCATTTGGATTTTAATGTAAAATGTTACTAATAATTGTAATTTTTAAAATTCAAATATTTTTTCACAATTAGTATTTTGTATTATTAAGTTATTTTATATAATTTTCAGAAGTAATCTGATGCGTCATCAAACATTGCATGATGTCCAAGGTCCCTTGCAATGTCCAATTTGCAGCAAATCTTTCGTCAAAAAATTTTATTTGATCTGTCACGTTCTTATTCATTGTGAGGAAAATCTGTACGAGTGTCAGGTGTGTCAGGAAAAGTTTTCTAGGAAAGACCATCTCAAACTACATATGCGCGTTCATACAAGACAAAAGCTGTTCAGATGTGAAACTTGTGGACAAACATTTACTCAGAAGTAAGTAAGTATACTGGATAAATGTTCATTGTAATTAGTTTTGCCATATTTTTTTATCAAAATAGATCTTCAATTTTGTTGCCACAAATCAAGAAATGAAAAGTTAATGAACGTTTCAATGCACCATTGGCGTTGACATAATGTTTAATGTTACATTGTATTGCCAATTATTGATTATTATTTCGTATTATTAAATTAACTTTAATAACTTTCAGAGATACTTTAATGCATCATCAAGTATTACATACAGGCCAACGTCCTTTTGAATGTCCCATTTGCGGCAAAAGTTTCGTCCAAAAATCAGACTTGCCCAGACACCTTCGCGTCCATACAGGAGTGTATAAGTGTCAGTTGTGTCAGGAAAGGTTTTCCAAAAAAGATCACCTCGATGATCATATACGTGTTCATAAAGGAGAAAAGCTGTTCAAGTGTGAAACCTGTGGACAGAGATTTACTTATAAGTAAGTACATAACGATAAATACTGTTGTGTAATTGGCATACCAAAAAGTAAGCCCATAGTACATGGCTATTATTTTTCGAGTAGTACATGAGAAATCTGCCTGCGCTGCCTTAATGTTAGTAGTATGTATTACTATTTTGTATTTAGTCACTATTTCATATTATTAATTTAGTTTTATATAATTTTCAGAAGTGGTTTGACGAGTCACAAAATGATGCATACGGGCGAACGCCCATTTAAATGTCCGACTTGCGGCAAAGGTTTCATCCGAAAAATAGACTTAAATAGGCACGTTCACGTCCATACCGGACAGTACAAGTGCCAAGTGTGTCAGAAAAGATTTTCTGTAAAAGTACATCTTGATAAACATATGGACGTTCACACAGAGTAATCACGAATGTAAAATTCTTTTTTCTAAAGAACACACACCTGCAGTTAATTATTACTATCAGTTTATATTCACACAGTTTTATTTTTTTTTCTTACACGTCGTAATTTATTTAAAAAGCAATAGGTAACTATTAAGTTAAATTTAGTTTCATATTTTATCNCAGTGGTACAATTACTGCAAAATATTGCCATTTGGATTTTAATGTAAAATGTTACTAATAATTGTAATTTTTAAAATTCAAATATTTTTTCACAATTAGTATTTTGTATTATTAAGTTATTTTATATAATTTTCAGAAGTAATCTGATGCGTCATCAAACATTGCATGATGTCCAAGGTCCCTTGCAATGTCCAATTTGCAGCAAATCTTTCGTCAAAAAATTTTATTTGATCTGTCACGTTCTTATTCATTGTGAGGAAAATCTGTACGAGTGTCAGGTGTGTCAGGAAAAGTTTTCTAGGAAAGACCATCTCAAACTACATATGCGCGTTCATACAAGACAAAAGCTGTTCAGATGTGAAACTTGTGGACAAACATTTACTCAGAAGTAAGTAAGTATACTGGATAAATGTTCATTGTAATTAGTTTTGCCATATTTTTTTATCAAAATAGATCTTCAATTTTGTTGCCACAAATCAAGAAATGAAAAGTTAATGAACGTTTCAATGCACCATTGGCGTTGACATAATGTTTAATGTTACATTGTATTGCCAATTGTTGATTATTATTTCGTATTATTAAATTAACTTTAATAACTTTCAGAGATACTTTAATGCATCATCAAGTATTACATACAGGCCAACGTCCTTTTGAATGTCCCATTTGCGGCAAAAGTTTCGTCCTAAAATCAGACTTGCCCAGACACCTTCGCGTCCATACAGGAGTGTATAAGTGTCAGTTGTGTCAGGAAAGGTTTTCCAAAAAAGATCACCTCGATGATCATATACGTGTTCATAAAGGAGAAAAGCTGTTCAAGTGTGAAACCTGTGGACAGAGATTTACTTATAAGTAAGTACATAACGATAAATACTGTTGTGTAATTGGCATACCAAAAAGTAAGCCCATAGTACATGGCTATTATTTTTCGAGTAGTACATGAGAAATCTGCCTGCGCTGCCTTAATGTTAGTAGTATGTATTACTATTTTGTATTTAGTCACTATTTCATATTATTAATTTAGTTTTATATAATTTTCAGAAGTGGTTTGACGAGTCACAAAATGATGCATACGGGCGAACGCCCATTTAAATGTCCGACTTGCGGCAAAGGTTTCATCCGAAAAATAGACTTAAATAGGCACGTTCACGTCCATACCGGACAGTACAAGTGTCAAGTGTGTCAGAAAAGATTTTCTGTAAAAGTACATCTTGATAAACATATGGACGTTCACACAGAGTAATCACGAATGTAAAATTCTTTTTTCTAAAGAACACACACCTGCAGTTAATTATTACCATCAGTTTATATTCACACAGTTTTATTTTTTTTTCTTACACGTCGTAATTTATTTAAAAAGCAATAGGTAACTATTAAGTTAAATTTAGTTTCATATTTTATCGGGAATTTATTTTTGTTGTATTTTTTAATGTAAATCGGTTTTTAAGTAAGAAAAAAAAAACAATAAAAACAATATAAAATTGCGACAACTTTAAAAATTTTATTTCAATCCTGAGATGTAAGGCACCAAAATAATGTAATTATTCAACAAATTCAATTTAGTTTGATTTTTTCCTTTTTACAAAATTTTAACTTAAAAATTATCCACAAACTTATTTTCACTTATACTTTATAAATATTAACATTAACTGTTAAGTTAAAGCTATTAGAATAATCTAATTTTACGAAAATATATATAAAACGTTAGAAGACAGTCAATCCATTTCAACAACTTTTTTACTGCAAAAAATGCATTAACACTACAATAGGCAAAAAACACATTAACTTAAAGATGTTTAAATAAAACAAATTACACCTTAACATGTACTAATTCGTTTAAGTTGAAATAAAAAAATACACAAAGTAAATTCCGTTATAATTGTATTAAAATGTAGATAATCAATTGTAAAAAAAAGGAAACATTATACGTTTCCAATAATCTACTATTGCAAATATTGCAGGTATCAACAGAATTAATACTGGCTAATAAAAGCTGCCCATTTGCATAAATTCACATCATGTAATAAGCAGCAATTAAAAAAACATTAAGTACACAATTATAATCGGACTGATTTAATGTTTGAAGAGGACTCGATATTTATGATTCAACATTGGTTGGTTTTCCTCCTTCGATGAGTCGACTACAGTTGTGATAAGACTTAGTGTCTCATAATCTCTTAGCCTCAGCACAACTCAGCAAATGATTCTACACTCCCGGCCATAAGACCAAATACTGAGCCCCCTTGAGGTAACATCGGCCATGAAAATCTTCTCATATACTATACTTCATTAAAAAAAAAATAGAAATTGTGCATCACAAAAACTATTGTAATTTTTAGTGACGTTAATACCTTTCAGCCGACAACAATGCTTCAAAATTTACAAATGGAGCAATGCCTTGAAGATGATTCTTTATTGGTAAAAGTACAGAAGTTGTTGCAGTTGTTTTTAATAATATTCACTTGTTGTTTGTAACCATGGCATACTTTATAAAACGAAATTTGCCAGGCTAAATATTAATTAACAATAGAAACAAAAACAAAAAGTAAAACCAATAAACGATCATTCGATTGATATTATTCATGAATGTATAATAATTATCATTTAAAATATTTACTTAGACCTGCAAGTTCCGCAAATCGAGCCATTGTACATCATCATCGAATCGTTCCACGCGCACCTTCTGCCTATAATGGTACTCCTTTAGATACGCTTTAAGACATTTGGGCAACTGTAGTTGGTTGACGTCATCATACGTAATGCGATTGACGATGGTAGCACGGCACAGATGCTGCAAGGGGAAGACAAAATTTCGATGCAAGGGCCACGTTAGCATCGGCTCGAAGAACATGCACGTGCTGGGGTCCTTGTAATGTTTGATTAAGTCGCAAACAGTTTCCGAAGTATAGACTCCTGGATCGTGAGAATCGAAACTGAACTTGTGATTCCACTGCTCGATTCGCGCATGCAACGATCTTCCATACTTCCGAAATGAAACGCTGAAAAGAAACTCCTCTTGAGCTGAATCTCGGAGAAGAAAAGTTCCCTCGGGTTTACCGTCCAGAAGACGCTCTGCTTCGTATCTGTCCATTTTCCCTAGAAGAAATGAATAGTTACTTTCATATTGCACACGGTGTTTCTGCCAGCATGGGCCAATGAAAGTAAGTGAATCAACCGCGAAAGTGTTACTTTTATCCCATACGTTATATTTTGGTACCAAGTGACCACTCTAGCTGCCTAGATCATAGCTTAGCATTCGGGAGGAGATTGAGAAAATAAATCAATGTTTATCTCCTCGCTTACCTTACACTTACCCCAATAAAAGCTACAGTTTGTAACATCTAACAGGTCAGGCACAAGACAATGTATAAAGTCCACTTGTGTGTGGCACCCAGTGATTGTGTCTATGGGACAGGTGCGTAGCATAATGTGCGTGTGAAAGAGAGCACGAAGGGAGTCAACAGTCAGATCAGGGGGACATACTAGTTGCAAACGCCTTGGCGTCTGCCCGTTGTCACCCTCTACATCTGAGCACACAAGTTGTACTCGACGTGGCGGTTGTCTCGATGAGACGGGTATTTCCACACCCTGCTCGATTTCTCGCGCCCTTTGCAGCCGAGCAGTTTCATCACAGTCGTGAAATGTGTGCAACCTAACAATAAAACACTGTTACATAAATTTAAAAAATATGTTTGTGACAGTCAGTCTTCAAGAGTACAGTAAATCGATATTTAATAGTTTTCGGATATTTGCAATAATTTCTTACCAGTGCATATCAATAAACGGTGGAGGTACAATTATATTTCCAGTTGATCCACTGTACAGATCCCTATGAAGTACAAGTCCTGATCCTTCTTCATTACCAGATCTCTGCTGAGAAGCAGGATTGTGATTATTTGGTACTACACTGGAAGCACAACTTCCATAAGGTGTTTCTTCTTCTCTAGTTGCATTACTGTTTTCCGGTAATACATTTTTACTGCACTCCCCAGTTTCACTTGGGATGGTACCACCACTACCGCTATTACTACTAGTACTGCTACTATTACTACTACTACTACTGCTGCTGCTGGCTTCTTCTTGGTTTGAAAACACAACACCCGCCCCCAATGGATGGTCTTCTGTTTTGCGGTAGCAGGTGCATTGACAGCAAGACTGGCTTTCAGGTTCTTTTGGAGTTTTCTTCGAACAATTAAGCTTTGTAACCCATTTCGATGATTTTTTGAATGTGGAAAATGAAAGTGGAAAGTTCGAAGACGGTTGTTTTTTAGACCGTTTCAGAGTAAAGTTTAGGGAGCGCCCCTTACGAATATTCAAACCTAGAGCTGAAAGACTTAATTTAGATCTTCTTGGGGAAGGTGAGGTTGCTGGGGTTGCTACGATTTCCGAGTCGTTCTTTTCGTTGCTGGATTGAGGAGATTCAGTATCCTCACATGAACACTTCTCAGAACTTCCATTAGGATCCATTGCAGGTAATTGTGAAGTGATATGATCAAGTAGATATTATAAGAAGTCTATCATCCGTAGTTTTTGCCTTTAAAACTGGAGAGACGAAAATATCACGATGTAAGATTCTGTAATAATAAAAAAATGTGTTAACTTTCCCTGAATAATTGTTTTACTGTTCCCTTTTACAAAGAATATTCCAATATAAAAAATTAAAAGCGTTTATCAGTTATTATATATAACTTCAAATAGACCTAAGCTAGCTTTACTAGGGTCTAAGAAAACAAAAATAGTTATGTATATTCCTTACAATACTTTCAGTAGAATTTAGGAATAACTAAGTAATAAGAAGGAAGGACTTGGCTCTATTCTGATTAGACTAAACATGTTGAAACATGTTCAAAAGCAATCTTGTACTGTTACAAACACAAACGTACACATTGTAGGCAGACAAACACATAGACAAGATTAAAAATAATATATAACATTGATATAAAAGTTGTGTTAGTAGTTCATATATGTAGATAGGTATGTACACTAATATAATACACAAATACTCATGATCCTGAATGAATATGATTCATGCAATTAAATGATATTAAAAATGAACATATCATTGATTAAAATAACAGAAAACAAGTTCATTTAATCAATCAGTTATGTAATAATTCAATAGTAAACATATGCAAAAAACAATTACCAAGTTAAGGAGCACTTTAGGTACCTACATTAGATTAATAAAAACAGTATTTTAAAACGCAACATACCTAATGCTTGTTGATATTTAGAATATAGAAATATTAATAAGTAGTTTTGTATGAAAAAAAGCACTGCAATTAATATTGGTAATTAAAGTTTTACATGGTTCAGTAAATACTGCAATAAACCATTTAATTTTTTTAACAACATGATACGAAATGTAATTTTAATGCTACTTAAACGATAATAATGATTGAAATATTCTATATAACTTAGCAATTAAGTACTTACTGTAAAAAACAGTTACTTAATATTGTCATAAATTTCATTTTCCAAGAACAAAACTATAGAAGTAATTAGTAAATTATAATTAATATTTAAAATGAAATTTTACCTACAGGTGCTACTATGAAGTACACATTGAAAAAAATATTTACTTAAACCTTATAAACCTAGATTTTTTGCGTCCTAGCAAGGTAAACAAACCAATCAAAAGTAATTAGCTACGTCACATTCACATAAAGTAAATTAAAAGTAGGTTTACACTACAAAAACACCCATTTTTATATACCATAATGAAAAGCAATTTGTGCTTACCGTATAAACATATACAATTTTCTCCACAAGTTCTTCCACTTTAAAGACAAAATATCACTTGCAACTTGTAATCAAACATCTTTTATTTTGTTACACACGTTCCTTAAACCATCTTAAACACTTGATATGGAAGATTGTCTCTTTTATTATTCACGTCACATTTCTGAGAATTGTCAAGTCAAATCTCAAGAATAAACAAAACTTTTATAACACAGTATCGGACTTGTCTTCCATGATTGATCACATAACAAAATTGAACTGAACTGCCATTATTTACGATAGTTCAATTGAAAAAAAGTAAAATTACGATTCTATATTTGTTTGGATTATCTGACTCATTTTGAATTATATTCTTCATTAATCAAAAACTAAGCATATTATTTTAAATCGATTAATTCAAAATATCCTGGATCCGTCCCTGTTAAATAAAAATTTAAGGCTGGGCAGGAAATTATAAAAAACTGTTATTAAACTTTTTTATAAATAAAATAAGTGTATTAAATAAAAGATAAACAATTAAAAATTTCAATGTTTTAAAATATAAATTTCACTGACTAACATTTGTATGTACATCTTCACTTCAATGGTGACAACATGTACAGGGTGATTAAATGTTGGTAGTTAATTAAAACTAATTAAATATTTCATAATTATTTAATTCACTCAAAAAACAATATAAATATTTGGAAACTAGTGCTCCTTACTAATAAAGATTTACATATAACTTACAATAAAATCATATTTCCAAAAAATTTTTCGTGTTGTAATCAATTAATACTATAACAAAGCTTTACAACTTCTGATAACTTTTTACAATATCTTTTGTCTTAAAGTAGTTTAAACAAGTAGAAGTACTTTAATTAGAAATACATTATGTAAAACGCTTTCATTTTGAAAAGAAGCATTTTTTTTATAAATCTGAAAAGTTGGAGTTCTTCCATTTATATATATAGAAGTGGCACCTAATGAAAGCTACATGTCTATTAAACTAAGAAAAAGTTCACTGTGACACTGTCCACTTTCATTTTAAAATTAAAAAAGCAATATAAATCTTGAAAGAGTTTTGCTTAAGTGATTAAACTATGAAAACAGAATTTCTAGGTGATTTTACGAGTTAACTGATTTGCTAGTCCCAAAACTGGCTTTCAATTTATATTTTGCTCACAAAAATAGGTTTATTTAAGTTTATACAAAACTAAAATCAATCTGAGCGAAATTCACCATACTGATCTGACAATGATTTATATGGTACCTATAATAAGTTTCAATCACAGATACATTTCTCTTTTCCTTAATTTTAAATTCCTTTACCCAAAATGTGTCTTACTTAAAGTATCACATTGTAATCCAAAACATAAAATTGAAATGACTAACTAAAAGCTTCATATATATTTGCACTTAAGACTTTAAGCTTATCATGTGTAATCAACTGTTGTATTAAATGTTCTGGGAAGGCATTTTTAGTCATAATACCAGACAGAATAGGAATTAATTTGGCAAGTGCTATTTCAATTTGGGAAGGATGAATAAATGTATCATTTGATGTTCCTGTTTCATTTTTCTGTGGCTTATAAAATTCAGAAATGCTGTCACCTAATAAAATGAAGCCCCTACTAATACATGAAGTTGCCAAAGTTTTTATTTCGTCACTTTCTATTATATCAGCAGTGTCCTGAATCTGGAAACAAAATATATTTAAAAAAAAGATATAGATGAGACATGTATTAAATTTCATTTACCATGTCATCATAAATTTTAGGATTTGTTTGTTTATCTTTTGGAATTATATACTCTTTCATATGTTCTACAGGATCCAACACACTGTTTTTAGTAGCTGTTTGTACATCCCAAAATATCTTCTCTAAGTCAACTAATTTCATTGGTTTTTTAAGTGACAATGGTCCTAATATTTTTGAGTACTAAAAACAAGTACACTGAACAAATTTTAAAAACATATCAATTCTGCATACCTCTTTCTCAAAGAACGTTGATAATCTCTCTATACCTTCTTGAAGCAGTTTATTACACAAAAGCAAATACTTTTCTTGAACATTTGGACTAACAGAGTCTGGGTTTTTGAAAAGGTGACCACCTAATAGACCAAGTTGTAATCTACATGTGATTACTAATACAACAGCAATGTAAATAAAACAGGTAACTTTTGCAAATATTTTGACCTGAAAATAAATATTTTTCTTTATAACAATACCATTTAAGCATGCTAAACTTGCAACCTACTTTCAGCTCTTCCCATAGTTTAATTTTACTCCCTGGATTTCTTTTTATTTCTTCCAAAACTGCATCAGTATCTAGTGCTCTTGATAATGATTCCAGTAATGGATTGAGCAAACTAAGAATAGTTTGATTACAAGTACGTTCTGTGCTCTCAAAATGTTGTTGTTTTCTGGTTCTTTCTAAAAACTCTTTTGCATGCTGCTCCTGCCACTCCCTTAACTTTTGTTGGGCATATCTGGTCAGTAGAATGGATCCAGTAATAATAACACCGCTAACAATAAACTTATTTTTATGCCTGTAAAAGAAGTCCCTTATTCTTGATAACACCGGCATTTTTAAAATGGGTTAAAGTAAACTTTATTTAAAAGTTTTTAAAACAAATTTATTAAACATAACCTTAAATATTAAAGTTCACACTTGTTTATTTTCAATCAACATCTGTCACCTGTCAGTAACCTGTCAGTGGAGCCGTCAAAGTTCTGTCAGCGTTTGTTATCAAAAGTAATTAGCTACGTCACATTCACATAAAGTAAATTAAAAGTAGGTTTACACTACAAAAACACCCATTTTTATATACCATAATGAAAAGCAATTTGTGCTTACCGTATAAACATATACAATTTTCTCCACAAGTTCTTCCACTTTAAAGACAAAATATCACTTGCAACTTGTAATCAAACATCTTTTATTTTGTTACACACGTTCCTTAAACCATCTTAAACACTTGATATGGAAGATTGTCTCTTTTATTATTCACGTCACATTTCTGAGAATTGTCAAGTCAAATCTCAAGAATAAACAAAACTTTTATAACACAGTATCGGACTTGTCTTCCATGATTGATCACATAACAAAATTGAACTGAACTGCCATTATTTACGATAGTTCAATTGAAAAAAAGTAAAATTACGATTCTATATTTGTTTGGATTATCTGACTCATTTTGAATTATATTCTTCATTAATCAAAAACTAAGCATATTATTTTAAATCGATTAATTCAAAATATCCTGGATCCGTCCCTGTTAAATAAAAACTTAAGGCTGGGNCGGCATTTTTAAAATGGGTTAAAGTAAACTTTATTTAAAAGTTTTTAAAACAAATTTATTAAACATAACCTTAAATATTAAAGTTCACACTTGTTTATTTTCAATCAACATCTGTCACCTGTCAGTAACCTGTCAGTGGAGCCGTCAAAGTTCTGTCAGCGTTTGTTATTATTATAATATGGTAAATAATTAACATTTGTAAATAAAGTCGGGGTAAAAATCAAAAGAAATGATATTAACAGACATCATATACAGAATATTTAAGTAAGAAATATAAAAAGTAACTGCAAAGTGAATTGTTACAGGACATGGATGGTATATGGCATTTTTCTACAAAGGAACATAATAGAAAAAAAGAGTTTTTAAATTTAGATAATACAAAAGAAGAAACCGTTATAAAAACAGAAGTAAAAGATGATATATTTGAAAGTGAAATCGAATTTATTGACGAAACTCGTTACTATAATATAAAAAATGAACCATTAAATTTAAATGATATAAAAGAAGAAACCACTATCCAACCAGGAGAAGAAAATACTTTTGAAGGTAAAATTGGGCTTACCACCGGAATATGGGGTGTTTTTATTAAGGAAGATGATAAACAAAAGGAATTTTTAAACTTAAATGATATAAAAGAAGAAACTGTTATAAAAAAGGAATTAGAAGATGATATTTTTGAAGAAGAAATTAAGCTTAATTTAAAAAATATCAATGCAGATGTAACTGATGCCACTTATGTTGAGTTAAAGAAACTTAAATGTAAATTCTGTCCACAAGTTTATACATCAATATTAGACTTAAGCAGTCACTTGAAAGTTCACAGTGAGAGGACATCATGTAAGTGTACATTCTGTTGAAGAGAATTTGCATTTAAAGCAGATTATATTTGTCACATTAAAATTCATATAGGTGATATACAAATATGAGTAATGTAATAAAACTTATATAAACAAAAATCTATATAAATTTATATTTTAGTACCATGTTCAGAAACCAAGAAAAAGTTTGAGTGTGATATTTGTCACAAATCACATTTGAGAGAACATTCAACATCACACAGAGAAGAACTGCAATTTGAATGTGAAACCTATGAACAGAGCTTTTCTCAAAAGTAAGATTATCAAGAAGATTAAAAAAAAAATTGACATTTGTCTACAAACTAACAACTATTCTAAAAGATTTGTCCCATCAACTTTTTTAGTTAAATATTGAAACAGCGTGCTTGGCAAATGTGGAAGTAAAGTAGTCTTTATACTTAATAATAATAAAACAAATCCTTTGGTTATTCACCTTTATCCATGGAATTGTATTACAAATTAAAAATACATAAATTTTATTTCAATAATAGCTGTCAATGGTGTATGTGATGGTACTATAAATATAGTCCTATAAATGCTTGGGAGCTATGTCAAATCAGCATGGAAGCATATCACTTAATAAAAACTAATTTTGATGATTTTAACACTACTTATTTTTATTTTTTATTTATTTTCAGTAGTCAAAGTTCACAAAAGACAGATGATATTGTTATTGAATCCCATAATGAGCAAAATCCATCAAATCAAAGACATATGGTAACAGTCAGGTAATTATATTTATAACACATTTTATCACACGTATTGTATTTGTTAATGTTGTTATTTAAAATCAAAATTTCCTAACTTTAGAGTGGACAATAAGGATGTTCTGAAAAAAGCGCGACAACAAAGATATCGTGAAAGACACCGTGAGGAAATTAACAAGCGAAAAAGAGCTAGTGCCCTAAATAAAGAAAGAGAACGCAGGCAATTTCTACAAAATGAACAGCGCATTGCAACGGGACAAATTACTGAAGCAACATCAAATGATCAGTTAGTGGAAATTGTTCAAATGTATATTTATTATTTATTTTTTAATGTTTTATTTAATAACAAAATTTCATAACTTTAGAGTGGACAATAAGGATGCTCTAAAAAAAGCCAGACAACAGAGATATCGTGAAAGGCACCGTGAAGAAATTAACAAGCGCAAAAGAGTTGGAAGGCTATATCAGTTAAGTAGGAATTGTTCAAATATATATTTATTTGTTAATGTTATTGTTGTTAATTTAAAGTCAAAAGTTCGTCACTTTAGATTGGGCAGTGAGTGTAATCACTTGGAGTGGGCAAAATTTTTAGTATTACTAGAATATATAGTTGATTTTGCGTTTAATTGCTACTGCATATTTCATACTATTAAATAAATTTTTATAATTTTCAGAGGTGATTCAATGAGTCATCATACATTGCAGGCGGGCGAACGTCCATTTGAATGTCCCATTTGCAGTAAATTTTTTGTCCAAAAAGCGGACTTATCTAGACATTTTCGCATCCATACTGAAGTGTACAAGTGTCAGGTGTGTCAAAATAGGTTTTCTGTGAAAGACCATCTCGATAAACATATGGATGTTCATGTAAGGGGANTCAAAACTTTAGAGTGGACAATAAGGATGCTCTAAAAAAAGCCAGACAACAGAGATATCGTGAAAGGCACCGTGAAGAAATTAACAAGCGCAAAAGAGTTGGAAGGCTATATCAGTTAAGTAGGAATTGTTCAAATATATATTTATTTGTTAATGTTATTGTTGTTAATTTAAAGTCAAAAGTTCGTCACTTTAGATTGGGCAGTGAGTGTAATCACTTGGAGTGGGCAAAATTTTTAGTATTACTAGAATATATAGTTGATTTTGCGTTTAATTGCTACTGCATATTTCATACTATTAAATAAATTTTTATAATTTTCAGAGGTGATTCAATGAGTCATCATACATTGCAGGCGGGCGAACGTCCATTTGAATGTCCCATTTGCAGTAAATTTTTTGTCCAAAAAGCGGACTTATCTAGACATTTTCGCATCCATACTGAAGTGTACAAGTGTCAGGTGTGTCAAAATAGGTTTTCTGTGAAAGACCATCTCGATAAACATATGGATGTTCATGTAAGGGGAATCATCACAAATATAAAAAGGTTTTCGTAAAGATCTCTAACAACGATGTATGTAATTACACCTTAACTTGCTATTGGCTCAATTGCAGATGTTAAAGTTTTGATGTAAGTATTAGTATGAAGAATTAAATACAGCTTTATGAAAATTGCTTGTTTAATGATTAAAATATAATTTATAAAGTTGGTACATAAATAAAAGTGTATTTGTAAGATGTGGAAAGGACAATCCTAAAAAATAAAAAATAATTAGTTTTAAGAGGTATTGTTGTACAAAAAAGCGTACTATTTATTACCGCTTGTCGATCCAGATCGATCTGAAGTCGATGGAAGTTCTATAAACGTTATTGAAATTTTAATTTATAACAAAAATACTTAAAATGAAGATGATCACTAGTTTTAATTACTTACCATCACTCTCATTGTGCCTATTTATAGACGACGATCCAGTAAAAAGATGTTCTTGAATTAAAGGTGCATCTACAACATCTGAAAAACGTTCGTTTCTGTATTTAAATTATCTGATTGATTGTCAGAGCTTCAGTTAACTTTAAAAAAATAAATAAAACAATAACAAATTATCGTCATTTTTCCTCTGTTGATTTTTTTTTTATATGATTTTTACTTACCGAGATATACGGATTTCGAATCAGAATTAAATGTTGGGCCTTCCGAAATGACCTCGCATTTGTAAATTCCCGAAGATTTTGGCGTAAGGGCCATTAAGGTAACTTGACAAGATCCTAGGATAGCATTTTCTGAATAATCTAATTTAATTGCTTCTATAACATATGTAATAATTTCGCCGTTTGGTCTACACCTAAAAAACTGCTGATCGTCTTTATACCATGTAACATCATATAATTGTTCGCCTTCTAAATTGTATTTGCAGTCTAAAAGAGCACTGTGACTAACTTTACTGGGAACGTGAAATCGTGTTATTTTTACAGAAGAAGTTAAATTTGAACCTGTAATAAAAAAACAAATTGTCAATATTTCTATGCTTTTTATGTAGGTATGCAATATTTATTTAACTGTAGAGGGAAACAATAAAGTATATTAAAGAGATACTCTATAAAAATGATTGCCTATTTTGTAAGATAAATTGATATTTCTTTTGTTTGAATTATCGACAAGGAGTAATTTGATTAATTGAAAATCAAAATATAACTTTATATACTGAAAGGATAATTAATACAAAAAAGCAAAATGATGAATGAATTGAAGGGCGTCTATTGGAAAAGGTGCAGCCCCTTAAAAACCTAACGTCTCATATTCCCCCTCTTATAATTTCGTGTGTTAGATGCTATTGATAAATATCCCCATTATGCCAAAATCGACGCCGTAGTTGATTATGTTTTCCACCTTTTTTCATAGTCTCCGGCACGCAAAAAGCTTTTACCAATAATCAACGTTAATAATTTCTTACTTCCTTGCACGACGAGGGTAATAGATTAATATCGGGGAAAGTACCGCATACAATAATAGAACAGTCAGGGGGTGAATTTATTATTATTAGATGATTTGGATAAAAGAAAAAAAACAAAGAAAAAAGTTATTGAAGAGAAATAAGAGGTAGTTGTATTCCTTCGAATGTAACTTGACTTTTTAAAGATATGGGAAAAATCAATACCAAAAACACTTCCACAAATTACAAAAAAAAACAATTACATTGGTTTTGTTAATTAACTCAAAATTCACATACTGGTTTTTAACGTTTAATAGCTAAATAGTCACGAATTATTAAACTGTTATTTATAAAATAAGAATGTTTTAGTGTTTTATTGTGCACATTTATTGTTTTTGCGTTTACTAGATATAGTTTACAAACTTGTTCACTACACTCCGTTAATTAGTGTCTCTGAAAACTAATACAGACCGAAATTCTGTAAATAAATTTATTATCCTTCACTCATAAAAAGATTTACTTTATAACGGTAAAATTTTAATAATAAAGAAAAAATGTGTACGTAATTACTTTAATAAGTATAAACCTTATGAAAAGTTATGTTTATCTAATAAAAGGTTTTTATTCTTACCGAAAATAACGGTCATAATGACGGTAATCCAGCTTCGTTTGCACATATTTCAAATTCACTTGGGGAAAAACAATAGTAAATTAAAAAATTATTCGCGCAACTTCTAATTGGTGCTCTTTATAAACTCATTGTCAGTTTGAGAGAATAACGTCTCGTTATTGTCGTATGTATATAAAGTTAAGAAGTTCAATATTCGCTCTGCTGCTTCTATTCTTCTAATTGAAAACGCGAATTAAGTAATTTACATCGCGCTCCACGGGTTAAGAAGTCAAGTGGTGGAAAGTAATGCTTGTTACATACTCATCGTCTTGGAATAACGATCGATTTTCAAACGCTACTGAATTTATAACAATAATATTGTCTGTATATCGATTATACGCAATTAATTAAAAGCCTTTTATTTAATGGTATGTTGTGTACATGGTACGTGGATATCTATATATATTTTATTCTCGCATCTAACCGCACCTACGTCTTTGCAGCTACCAAATGAAGAAAGGAGAGCAACAAGCACGAACGTCTCTTTTAAATATTTAAATTATGTTATGCGCAAATGCTACAACATAAACTTATAAACATATACGAAGGTATACATACATGTGTACTTATTCTTTTTCTGTATTCTCCACTTTATTCAATTTTGATGAAATTAATATTTGTTTTTGTATATGTAATAGCAAGTGATATACCATATATCAAATTAAGAGGTTTAAAAAAGAGCGGAACGATTGGTTCAACGGTTTATGCGCCTTAATATTACGTTTTATTAGTGCATTTTAAAAAAGTTCACACGATTAAATGTACAGAGATCTTTCTTTTACTTAAATATAATAAAGCGACAAAATTGGTCGAACTTTTACCACGGACGATATCAGTTGAATTTAATTTTTAATATTTATAAAGTGCGGTGTTAGAGAGAGGAGATTAAAAATCTTGAAAATAGTAATAATAATTACTAATTTGTAACTTCAATAATTAAAATAGTAGATTTTTTAGTAAAAGCTTTTATTATACCAGAAATAAAAAATTAAAAACAACTTTAACATCTTTCATAAATAAAAAAATAATATTATTAAACAAAAAACAACCAGTACCTAATTTAATCAGAAGTAATACTTTCCTCGTTATTCTGCTTCCTAGTTTTACGTCGTTTACATCTAGGACACTCTTCGTTTTTTCTCTTAAAGCAATGTTTATGAAGTAGGGCACCACATTCGCTACAGCAATAAGCGAATTCGTCAAACGGGAACAGAACTTCGTCGTTTGTACATATCTCGCATAAATAACCACGACCTTTGCATAATTCGCAATCAACTTTGATGTGTTTTAAAAATGTATCCGTTAATGCGTGCAATTTCGTTGGCAAATCTCCAGAATATGTGTCCATTAAATCTTGTAAACTATACAAATCTGGTGACTCAATGAGATGAGGTGTATCGACATTTTTCCATAAGAATCGATCTTTATTGGCAAATCTGAAATTTGTATTAAATATCAATTTCATTTAAGTTTTTATTGTGACAATCTGCACTCTTAGTTTACTACAGTCTAAAGTGGATAACTCAATATTAAGTTAAACTCAGCTTCAATGCAGATTAGATAGAGCTCAACCCTGTTTACTAGTTACAACTATTTCACATTCTAAGTGTAAAGTAGTTTAGTTCACAACATGCTGCTTTTTTTCAAAACTGCAGCCCAATAAACGCTAATCTATTAGTAGCAGACAATAATTATCCAGCTAACTCAATCCAGCTTAGGCCGAGCCCTACCTAATTTAAATGAGGCTAATAAACTTATATTCTTACCCATGAACATGCTATTATAAAATAAATTATGTACCTACAGATCAACAGGTACTTCCTCATCCCGTGGAGTTCATACCGCAGCCTGCGTACCAAGTTGAGTTCGTGTACTAAAGTAAAAAGACGCGGATTCAAGTTTTCCAAATTGATTAATGCTTTTTTGGAAGTAATTTTTAATAACTGCAAAGTAGCTTGACATACGGGTCGGGGATTCATGTCCCAGTTATGTATTACCCTCGCCGGAATTACTGCCTCACAACCCCAATGACACGCTGAACAATAGTACCTTCCGGAATAATCGCAACATCTCGGTTCGTACCACTTTTCCACTATTAAAAAATAACAAACATTTACAGATAATAAGAAAAATTAAAAGATGTACAGCTTTTTCAATTTAAGCTTTAAAATCATAGAAAATAGGCCACAAATGCTAACAAAAAGGAAATTGTTAGAAAAAAAAATATTTTAAGCAAATTATGAGGTGCAGAAACATTACATATATTTTATAGATATTGTATATTTAATTTAAAATTTCTTGTGGAGAAATTTTACAGCATATTAAGANCTACTTGATACTATTACATACCAGTTCATTGTCATAAATCCTTTCTGCAACAACAGCACACTGCCCCCATTCCCAATGAAAAAAATACATTTTCATACTCTCTTCAGGGCCATAGGTACAACTACCTTCTAAAGCAATGGAGGACTGACACAACCTAAGCTCCATAATTTAATGACAACTGGAGTGCTTCTAATGTTCCTCCAAAATGAGACCTTATGAAAAAGTGTTCAGACATAATTAGTTTAGCTTTCCTAGTAAATAATGCACATAATACATTTTTAAAGTAATAACGAACCTTTTTCTCAGTTAATATCAAATAAATATGAATACTAATATAAATATATAGTATGGCACGTATGCTCACCTTAATTAATTAACTATAACAGTTTCCAAGATGTAAAGCTAACAGATAAAAAACCATAGCAGAGATGCAACGCTTGTTTCAGTAGCATCAAAGTTAACTGCAATTCCTTTTCATTTGTTGGGCAATCTATAAACACGTAAGGAAAAAAATTAATTATTACTTTTAATTGATTCTATGTACCATGCAATTATTTTTTGATAGGATTTATGTATTTGAAGTTAAGTTTGACAAAAATCAAGTAGCAGCACATGAAATTAATTATCATTCTTTGGAAAATCCCATAAGAAATAGTCTTTACAGAGACACTTTAAGTAAGTAAGCAAACATACACTTAAGTTAAAACTTATATTTTAAATTACCAAATGGTTCCAGTGCAATGGTCACAATACAATGATGAACTTAATTGCAACAGAGGTTGTAGAACAAAATGATGACCTCGAACTGCAAGAATTGAACTATTGTTACATTTATTGTAAGGATGCCTAAAAAACTGGTTATCATAAAACTAGTTATCCAAATTGATAAACACTTACTGAGGATCTAACTGAGCTTCTTTAAATTCCTGAAGTCTCAATCTTAACTCAATTAGGTGTCTAACTAACCATTTCCTTTCAGTTGAAAACTGGTCACTTTCTAATACCAACTCTTTACATCTTGTTATTGCACTTTCAAGTTGTTCTTCATTTGCTTCCTATTATTTCAAAAGGTCATCGTTCTAATTAGAAAAGTTCAATTTTTAAATTTGCTACCTTATTTAATGCAAGTTGAAGCTCCTCACTGGCCAAACTGGAGGGCAAAAACCGATATTCATTACCATCTTCATTGATTTTTTCTGAACTTGAAGATGCAGAAAAATCTGTTCTTGCTTGTGTACTATCACAGTCACTCATTTCTCGCAGATGCAATTAAAAATAAGCCTATAATAAGGATGTGGTTGATTACTCAATAAAAGTCTCCATTGTCCTCATTTTTGCCACTGTAAAATGTACAGTAACATCTTAAAATGTAAATTTTTATGAATTAATGAGTCATAATATGATAGCAAGATCCAGGGAAATTGTTAAAAACATTATCATTCATTACCATCTCTAATTACTACACACATGCATAGCTGTTGATTAAATTTATCAAATATAATATCAGTAAATTAATAAAGTTATTCATAAGTACCTATATTAAATTACTAACTGTTATTTTGCTGGTTTTAATCACGGTTGATGTAATAGTTGATGTATGACTTTAATTTTTTGCATGTGATTGTTTTTGTTTTAACTAGTTTTAACGGTACATATGGAATACAAACTTCACATTTGAAATTTCACGTAGAACATTTGTAAGATGTAAATCGCAAGATGACTTAAATATTGGCAGACTTTCTTATTTCGGAGTCAATCTCTTAGTTTTTAGAAATGACTTTTTAAGATTTCTTTATAAATTTAAGTTTTTGTTACGTATTCGGGCTTTTAAACACGCCAGTATTTTTTGCATGAGAAAGTTAACGAAAATAGCCGAAACGAAATTACAGTGATCGGAAGTACAATGGCGTTTTTGTGAGATGACAGGTCAAAAACAGAAAATTCTATGAACAAGGCATATTAGATTAGTAAGAGCACACGTAGTATCTTTAAACAAAATTTGCTTGTGTAAGGAATTACTGGTAACAAAAAGTTAATTGTCAACACTAAAACAACGCAATCGTTTAGAAAATTAACAAAATTTAGTAGTGATATAGCAAAACTTAAGTGTCAGTGAGAACAAACTCTTAACCTTTCCTCTACATTACTATGTACAGATTCTGATAATAGCTATGAATTCAGACGATGAAAACTTTTATGACGACTCAGGTAATGAAACTAGTGGTGATGATGTTGATTTTGCAATCGAGGTGGAGGCCACATCAAACAGAGAGGTCCAAAACATTGAGGAAGATTATCCCTATGAGGTCCTTTCAACTGATGATATTGTGCAGCATATGATAGATTGTATTAAGGATGTAAACACTGTAGTCCAAATACCAGCAACAACTACACGTATTTTATTAAACTATTGTAATTGGGACAAAGAAAAACTCATGGAACGTCTCTTTGATGGAAATCAGGATGAATTATTTAAGGAAGCAAGAGTAATTAATCCATACAAAAAAGTTAATTTAGTAGTCAAACCAAAAGTATCTCGAAAAGTATTAGGTACTGAAGAATGTGAAATTTGTTTTATGGTTCTTCCTCCATCTCAAATGACTGGCCTTGAATGTGGACATCGCTTTTGCTACCAATGTTGGAATGAATATCTTACTACAAAGGTTTGTGGTTCCAAAAGTACAGTCTTTGTTACATATTTATAAATTCTAATGCTTATTTAAATGAATTTTCTTTGTGTTTAAAGTGAACATTTGTTAATTCATTACTTTACTTAAAACACTAAAAAAAAGTGAAATCATCAATTTTATTTAATTATAATTATCTAAGATTAAACCTTACTAATATTATGAAAGTAAACATAATCATTTGTGATATAATTAACTTTAATCACAATTGTGATATTTTATATCAGGATTATTATCTACTTTAGCAAGGACAGTTACTCACTGGAAAAGTTATAAATGCAGTTTTCTTTTGTTAAGAATATCCCCAATTTTATTGTTTCTGTAAAATTCTTCCTGCTTGTAACTATTAAAATCTGATATAAATGAAGAAAGTTTAAGAAGTGAAAAAACTAAAAATTGCCTCATATTAATTTATTAACAAATAAATTAATGGTTAAAAAAGAGAAAAAGTTTTTCCAATAATTTCTTAAGTTTCATATGCAAGATGAAATAATAGATCTGCCAAATTTTTAATTTACTCTTAATAAACTATTGGAAAGCACCTGCAATTTGCCATGAACAAAGAGTGATAGCTTTGTAAGAATTTTGTAAATTACTGCCAAATAATTATAAAATATATTTGTCTTTGTGGTGCATTTTTGTAAGCAGTTCTCAAAGATTAATTCTTTTGGAACTGAAATTATTGTATCATTAATTATTTTGTTTAACAGGTCATGGAAGAAGGCGTTGGACAAACAATTGCTTGTGCAGCTCACAATTGTCCAATATTGGTGGACGATCAGACGGCTATGCGTCTAATCAAAGATCCTCGTGTCCGTCTCAAATATCAGCATCTAATTACTAACAGTTTCGTTGAATGTAATCGACTGTTGCGTTGGTGTCCCAGTCCTGATTGCAATTATGCGGTCAAGGTTAATTATGTGGACGCGCGTCCTGTGTCTTGTCGTTGCGGGCACACATTCTGCTTTGCATGCGGCGAAAATTGGCATGACCCGGTCAGATGCGGGCTGTTGAAGAAATGGATTAAAAAATGCGACGACGATTCGGAAACGTCCAATTGGATAGCAGCAAACACCAAAGAGTGCCCAAAATGCAATGCCACCATCGAAAAAGATGGTGGGTGCAACCACATGGTAAGTCATTATTTACATGAGGACCATTAATTTAATATTTATATTCAAGTTATTAGAACTTTTAATAAAGGACATATTAGAAGCACCAACAGGAGCAAAGGGGCAGAGAGGGAGGGAGAAGGACTAGATTACTGTTCATAAATAATTAGGGACATGTATGTTTTAGTTTTAGCAAAATGAGATTAGCTCAGGATAGCAAGCAGTGGGGGTGTCTGTCCAAACAGTACTTGACTTTATGGTGACGAAGGATGTAAATGAACGATCGTTTTTGTTTTAAATCTTTTTATGTTATTTGTTTGTGGGAGATATGTTTATTTACGCTGGTTTGCAGGTGTGTAAAAATCAGAATTGCAAAGCAGACTTTTGTTGGGTATGCTTGGGCCCCTGGGAGCCCCACGGTAGCTCGTGGTATAATTGCAACCGGTACGACGAAGACGAAGCAAAGGCGGCGCGTGACGCCCAAGAACGTTCGCGAGCTGCCCTACAACGGTATCTGTTTTATTGTAACCGGTACATGAACCACATGCAGTCGCTAAAGTTTGAACACAAATTGTACGCCGCTGTTAAAGATAAAATGGAAGAGATGCAGCAGCACAACATGAGCTGGATTGAGGTGCAGTTTTTGCGCAAAGCGGTTGACATCTTGTGCCAGTGTCGGCAGACGCTCATGTACACGTACGTGTTCGCCTATTATCTAAGGAAAAACAACCAGTCTGTGATATTCGAGGATAACCAGAAAGACCTCGAACGCGCCACTGAACTGCTTAGCGAATATCTGGAACGTGATATCACGCAGGAAAACCTCGTCGATATTAAGCAAAAAGTAAGTTTCTTTAGTAAAACGAATTGTGCATTCATCAATAGCTATGAGCCCATATTGGTATTCATTATTGTTTTTTTATTAAAGGTGCAAGATAAGTACAGGTATTGTGATGGAAGACGTAAGGCGTTACTAGCTCACGTGCATGAAGGTTACGAGAAAGATTGGTGGGAATATACAGACTAAGAGATATGTGGATGATGAATAGCCTTCCTCCCATTTCTGCCCCACCCACCGTTCACGTACCCAATTCTCCGTTAAACGATGGAGAAGATAAAATGAAGAACAGCTCTAGCTTTATTGTTTTTAGTTACATAATCCTGTACAGATTTTTGGGTTGTATGTGTGTAATATAGGAAATTAAAAAAAAAATTAACATGAACATTATGTAAAGGATGATATGATGCCCGATGCTCTTGATCTGATTTGTAATTGGTAATAAAATACTTTTGTTAGACTTTTTTCCATTTCGTATTTGTTTGGAAATACAGAAAATTATAACGGAACTAAATGATCGTTAATTGTTTAATTTAAACCCTTTTTCTATTTCAACAATTTTTTCTCGTTATGAACCCTTCCTATCCCAGAGAAAACCTATTCTAGAAAGATGCATACATTAGTACACAAAGGGTTAATTAAAGCAATTCGAAAGTGGTATTTGTGTAAGTCGTAGATACATTAAATTCTACATTTATTATAAAGAAGTGCGGCACGACCAATATCATGGTTCAAGTGTGCCTGACCATAACGCGCACCATTGCTATAAAAATGCATGCTTAAGAATACTATTTTTTATTATTACCATTTTAACACAGCAACAGGATCACTTAATTTACATTCTTAAAAACGAACACGTCGATTGCAACAACATTTTACGGAATAACATTAATCAGTTTGAAAAGTCCTAAATTTTTGAATATTTTTCCTAAGGATTCCCAGCTACCACATCGAATAGAGAATTTCAAAATCATTTCTAACAATTGAATATTCTATTTTACCTTATTACAACAAAATTATTTTCTTAATCCAAAGACCTAATTTTTCAGTTCAATTGTAAATGTGTCTCTTACACTTACGGCAGGCTTACGTATTACTAACGAACGTTCTTCTTTATCATAGGATACTTTGAGTACTTGTTCAGAAACGTCTGAAAAAAAAAATAAATGTTCGTTAAGTATTCATAGAAAAAAATGAATAGAGTATTTAACTCACCTTTGCTGTTCAAAATTGCTTTCTTTACGTTTGTGGGAGGATTTATAACAACAACTTTTTCTATCCAGGCTTTGCTAGGATAATCAGCATCTTTCACGTGCCTATAGAATGTTTACATAATTGAAATCAAATTATGGTACGTGGATATCTATATATATTTTATTCTCGCATCTAACCGCACCTACGTCTTTGCAGCTACCAAATGAAGAATGGAGAGCAACAAGCACGAACGTCTCTTTTAAATATTTAAATTATGTTATGCGCAAATGCTACAACATAAACTTATAAACATATACGAAGGTATACATACATGTGTACTTATTCTTTTTCTGTATTCTCCACTTTATTCAATTTTGATGAAATTAATATTTGTTTTTGTATATGTAATAGCAAGTGATATACCATATATCAAATTAAGAGGTTTAAAAAAGAGCGGAACGATTGGTTCAACGGTTTATGTGCCTTAATATTACGTTTTATTAGTGCATTTTAAAAAAGTTCACACGATTAAATGTACAGAGATCTTTCTTTTACTTAAATATAATAAAGCGACAAAATTGGTCGAACTTTTACCACGGACGATATCAGTTGAATTTAATTTTTAATATTTATAAAGTGCGGTGTTAGAGAGAGGAGATTAAAAATCTTGAAAATAGTAATAATAATTACTAATTTGTAACTTCAATAATTAAAATAGTAGATTTTTTAGTAAAAGCTTTTATTATACCAGAAATAAAAAATTAAAAACAACTTTAACATCTTTCATAAATAAAAAAATAATATTATTAAACAAAAAACAACCAGTACCTAATTTAATCAGAAGTAATNCATACCAAAATTCTGTCTCACCTCCAGGCAAATAAATATTTACTGATGAGGCTCCAGCTTCAGTCACGGGTCTTGCAAGAACAGAATTTCCTAAAAAGAATTTATTTTTAATGCACCTAATAGCATTTATTTTGTTAAATAAAGACATCATCACGCTGGTTTTATACATGTACATACATTACAGAATCAACAATTAGTTTAATCACAATGTGTGCTAAACTCCTAACAAAATAAAAAAACAAAAATTAATACATAATCTGTCTTACCAACGAGTAATTCATCATCAATATCATATGTTTTAAGATCAGTGGGATAGTGATAAAACAGGGGTCGAATAACTGGTTCAGACGTAGTCTCGTGCTCCCAGAAAAGGGTGTACCACAGGGGCATAAATGCATAACGCAGTCTTAAAGCATTACGTATCCGATTGCGAACGTCTTGATTAAATAAATATGGCTCTTTTCGTTTTGTGTCAATGTGAGCATGAGCCCTAAAGAATGGGAGCCAAATACCTGCCTATTAATTTAAAAAGTGTTAGTACTATTTAATAACAGAAATGCTAATTGCAAATAAAAAAAATTTGATTGCATTTTGTTGTTGATTTCATTTTACCTGGTACCACCTTTGAATTAATTCTACTTCAGGATTATGAAAAAAGCCTGTCACATCAGCTCCACAAAAGCTTATTCCTGCCAGGGCTTCAGATAAGCACATGGGAAAACTAATTTGTAAATGGGACCACTCAGCAGCGTTATCCCCAGTCCACACAGCAGCATAACGTTGAGATCCAGCAAAATGGGAACGGGTGAGAATGAAAGGTCGAAGTTTATTTGCAGATCTTTTCAAAAGACCTTCGAAAGTACCAATTGTCTGTAACAAGAATTACGATTTAAGAAAAATAAATAGATAAGAAACGATTAATTTTAAATTTTTAACTAATTAAGGATGAAAATAAATGAGAAGGTAATACAACTAACCTGATAGAGACCATAAATGTTGTGTACATGTCTATGTTCCCAGCCTCCGTAATGTACGCAGTCTTTGGGCATGGTAACTTCAGGCCCATTAAAAACTGAGGGCTCATTCATGTCATTCCAAATGTGTACATCATTGGTTGTACCCTTGAAATTATCTAACGAATAGCTGTTTGCATAGTATTCTTTAAATGAGGGGTTAAACACGTCAACATAACTACTAGAACCAGGCCAGCACCAACCTAGTAAAAAAAAATTAATGAAATAAAAAAATGCAAGTCTTACAGTAGTTTATTAAGGCTAAGACTTGCGTATTTTTATAATGATGTCTAACGCTGATAATAAGCAAAATGTAATTTCTTTTATTAAATCAAATAAATAATTTCTTTTTTTTATCCGATCTTGAGATTTAATTTCCTTTCGATTTCATTTACCTTCATAGACTTTCCCATCTTTTGTTTTTACGTAGTAATCATTAGCTAGACAATCTTCATGGAAAAAGTAGCCTCCCTCTCTTTTGATATGTGGATCGATGATAACGACTAGTTTGCGACCAGTTGATGTCAGATTGTTGACCATAACGTCGGGATGTTTGAATTTTATGGGGTCCCATGTGAAATACTTTTTAGCATCGGTGTATTCAATGTCGAGCCAAATAACATCGACAGGCATGTCGTGCTCATCGAAATTGTTAATAACTGAACGAACGTCATCTTCATCATTGTAATTCCATCGACTTTGGTGGTAACCAATGGCAAACAGCTAAAAAGATAATTTCAAATTAGATAGTTACTAAACACCCTCTGCTTAGAATAGTTTGTATTTATTTAGGGAGATAAACAGCACTATATTTAAAGATTAAAGTTTTATTGAATGTATTTCTCACTTGAGGTAATGGAGCTACTCCTGTTATGGATGCATATTGACGGGCGACTGCTTTTGGAGAGGGGCCGAGGAAAACAAACAAATCAATGACACCACTCTCGCTCATGAAATGGACGTCTACTTGTGACTTGTCATTATCTGATACTAAATTAGCAAGGAAAGATGAAACGCCATTGACTATACTATTTGATACATCTACCCAAGTTTCTGCAGAATTGTGCCAAAATATACCAACAGTTCCATCAGGACTGCAATAGCAAAAAAATCAATCAAAACTGTACTATACTGAAATAAAAATAACTAAAAAAGAACACAAACAAGCAAAACAGCTTACCCATGAGCATAGAGCATGGGCACGGCACCATACAACGCCATAGTACTATCTAATTCATATTCGAAAACGTCCAAATTGTATAATCTGTATGGTTCTGTTCCTCCTGGGTTGGTACTTCTAAGACTCAAACGGTCACCATGCTCTGGTATTCCATAAGCCCGATGTGCACCTGGAAAACTGATATCAGTACCAACTGCTTCTGGACCTCTTGGTTTGCTATCTTGGTGAGTTTTAAAATTTTCTTCCCAAGCTCCTGGATCTTCCTATAAATTCAATAATAAATTGTTTGAATAAAGACTGTTGAAAAGCACCAAAAGCATTGATTACCTTAGGAATTTGATCTGCAGATTCCACATTTTCATCCCTAAACAAATATGAATATAAGCAATTGAATAAGTAACATACAAATATATGTATTTACCCTTCAGTCTTTTTATTTCTTAAATGTTCAACTTCAAATAAGCCTCTTGCATTAACAACTGCTACTATCTTATCATTATCATTATAAAACTCGATCTTAAGAGGTGTTGTGTGAATTACAACTTTCTTATTCTGAGACTTGATAGTGATAATATTATCATTCTTTTCCAAAACTTCTAATCTGGAAACAAAATTTAATTAACATGAATTTGAACTTAGTAAAATGAACTTGAAAGTTACTTAGAGACATCAGGCTCCTTAACTAGAACTCCCTCGACTTTATACCGAGGATATAAGGGATTTATTTCATCAACAAAAACGCGAAATGTGTTATCTGCTAAAGCTGAAAGAGTTAGTTTAAATTTTCCTACATCATTACTGAGTTCTGCTTCAGCTGAGTTATCCGACACTAATAATGTCTTTACATCTAGTTTGTAATTTGAATTGTTCTGTTTTATACCTCTCAAACGCCTTAAAAAAATATATTTTAAGTGCAAGTAGTAGGATTTGATTAAAACTATGTTCTACCTGCAAAAACTGCTTTGTTCGCATGTTTTAAAATTGTTTTTGTCTACTGAACTTACAGATGACATTAGAAATAAAAGTAGGATGCACCTGAAAGAAGAACTGTTATCATTCATAATATTTAATATTGAGATACATACACTTAAAATTTAAGTCAGAATCAACTTTAAAAATAAGGTTAAGTGAGCTCGAATCAAAATGTTAGTACATTTTAATAATTTGCCAAACAATGTATATTTTTAGAACTATAAAAATAACATTTTTTAAATAAGTTATTTTTAAACATTATACTTGTGATAAACTCTTACTTTAAGTATCGCTTCATGTCGATTGATTTATAAAAAATGTATCACTTGGACTTCCTATTATTTCTGAATTTAATCGATTTAATACACTAGATCTAATTAACACAGAGTATGCACGTGTTCTTTAGCACATTCACTGTATTCTATTTCACATTATTTTCACAATTTTTAATTTAAATCACTTTATAGAGTACAGACACGTCAGCGTCAGCTGCTCACAACAAGCCAACAAGCGGTACCGGTACTTCTTCTTTTTGTTTTCGGATTTTAAGTAATATTATTCATATAGCCAATGCATTACTCGTAGGGGATTCCCAATCTCTTTCTTTTAAATCCCATTTAATAACGAAAAAGACTTTATAAGTCACATGGTATGTAACAGTTACTTAAAAATTCTATACAAATAATTAAATACGTTTAGTTTATAATGTAATTAAAAACAACTGTTTTGTATTATACTTATCATAGCAACTGTCCTTCACTGACGTTAACGAGAAAAGTGACTTTTTGAACTGCAATTTTTAAAAAACGGATTATAATGATCAATAACCCTTCACCTCGAAAATATTTATGTTGCACAATAACATTTGCCGCAACGTTTCATGGAATTGTATTTACGTTTTTCTCATTACTTGAATTCATTGGAAGTTTTATATGGTATAGACTTCGAGAAGATTCTAGATATTTTAACACGGTCGTTTTAGTATTGGCATTTTTTATACTGCTCTTATCCGTGGTACAAGTTGCGTTATTAAAGAAAGCTTTCATATTTTTCAAAAGCTTTGCAATATTTATTGTGATGGTAGCAATGTGGGATTGCGTTGCCATTATAGCAATCGTTGCAGAAATACTTTATTTTCGTAAGAATTTTACAACTGAAAGAGTTTCGTATATTATTTTTTACGGAGTCAAAACGTTTATCGATATAATTTGCTTTTTTCCCTTTTATTTTTATTGTAAATGGTACACGAATGGGGAAACTAATAACCGTAAAGACAGAGAATAGTTATAAATTTTAGGTAGATAAATTGATGATTACATAAACAGCAAAAACTGTAAAAAAGATTACTGTATAGATGTCTTTTAATGTATATAAATGGTAATCAATCGATGTTCGATACTTTTTAAAAATAAAAACCGTTTTCTACCAATTTTGTTTTTTTTTACCTGTCTGTTTATTTAGTTTGATTTATATTGGTTTATTATTTATATGAAAAGATGACTGAAGATATTAGTACGAATTTTCCTAAACTACGTCCCTTTTTTCGAAAAATGATGCCGCCCTTTGATGATCGCAATGCTTATTTCCATTTTTCAACTTGCCAGGATACGGATGAGATATATATTAGAGGATCTAGTGTGCATAAATCAAAATATTGTATTTTAAGATTAGAAAGTGAAATTAAGGAAATGTCAGACTTAATTTCATTACACGATCTTAATGTTGATGATGATAATGATGTTTATCACTACGAAGTCAGTAATACAGGAAAAAACAAAATTCCCATTACAACAACTATTTCAAAAGTTCATTCTGTAACATTTGTAATATTTTGCGCGGTGGCATTTAGTGAACAAGTTGCGTGGTCTTTCGTATGGAATGATTTTACCTTATGGCAAATGATTTGGCTGTTTATTGACGGTATGTTAACAATTTTGGGGGCGTCATTTTTCCCTATAATTTTCAAAGAAGCAAAAAAAGGATTCGATGATTACATTATGTTGATAATTTTCACAATAATATGGGACATTGCTACCCTTATAATTATTAATAATAAGAAGAATACGTGGAATATTACCGGACGTACAGTACTTTACGTTTTGAAATTGATTGTGAATATTTTTGGTTGTTATTTTCAACAGCGTCGCTATAAGAAAATTGTTGATAACAACGAGGAGGAACCTAATATTGACGAAACTGACGAGGAAGAGACGCAACAAACAATGGATATATTATAAAATAAATAATATATATTA